CATGCCACCACACCCAGCTAATTTTTGTATTTTTAACAGAGATGGAGTTTCGCCATGTTGGCCAGGCTGGTCTCGTAACCCTGACCTCAGGTGACTTACCTGCCTTGGCCTCCCAAAGTGCTGGGATTACAGGGGTGAGCCATCGCACCTGGCAGGTACCGAAATTGTTTTAAAAGTATCTTTATCTGTAGAACTACCATATGATCCAGCAATCTCCACTGCTAGGTATACATCCCTAGAAAGGAATCAGTATATTGGTGAGATATCTGCACTCCCATGTTTACTGCAGCACTATTCACAATAGCCAAGAAACGGAATCAACTTAAGTGTCCATCAATGGATGAATGGATAAAGAAAATGCAGTACACATACACAATCAAGTACTATTTAGCCATAAAAGAATGAGATCCTGTCATGTGCAACAGCATAGATGGAACTGGAGGACATTATGCTAAGTGAAATGATCCAGGGATAGAAAGACAAATATTACATATTCTCACTCATATGTGGGAGGTAAAATAGTAGATCTCATGGAGATAGAGAATAGAATGGTCATTAGAAGAGGCCAGGAAGGGAAACCGGGGAGGGCAAAGACAAAGATAAACTGGTTAATTGTTAAAATACAGCTAGATAGAAGTTCTAGTTGAAAATACAATAGGGAAGTTATAATTGACAATATTTTATTGTATATTTCAAAATAGCTAGGAAAGAATAATTGTATTGTTCTTAGGCTAGGCACAGTGGCTCACACCTGTAATCCCAAGTCCAAGCGAGATGACAGAATCCCTCCAAAAAAGTCCTTCCTGGCCAGGCGCAGTGGCTTACACCTGTAATCCTAACACTTTGGGATTGGGAGGGAGGATCCCAGTGAGATGGGAGGATCACTTGAGACCAGAGTTGGAGACCAGCCTGGTTAACATAGCGAGACTCCATCTCTCTCTCTTTCTCTCTCTCCCTCCCTCCCTCTTTCTCTTTTCTCTTCTCTTCTCCTTTTCCTTTCTTTTCCTTCCCTTTCCCTTTCCCTCCCTCCCTCCCTCCCTTCTCTTTTTTTTGAGACAGGGTTTCACTCTGTCACCCAGGCTGGAGTGCTGTGGCGTGATTTCGGCTCAATACAACCTCTGCCTCCCAGGCAAATCAGCTAATTTTTATATTTTTAATAGAGATGGGGTTTCACCCTGTTGGCTAGACTGGTATTGAACTTCTGGCCTCAACTGATCCACCTGCCTTGGCCTCCCCAAGTGCTGGCATTACAGGCATGAGCCACTGTGCCCAGCCACCATCTCTATTTCTTTTATTTTATTTTATTTTTTTTTTTTTGGTGTATTTATTTATTTATTTATTTATTTTTAATTTATTTATTACTATTAAACTTCAAGTTGTAGGGTACATGTGCACAACGTGCAGGTTTGCTACATATGTATACTTGTGCCATGTTGGTTCTATTTCTTTTAAATACAATAAAATAAAAAATAATAAAATTATAATTAAAAAGTCATTCCTGAGTAGGATGACTCAGGTTAGGAATGACTTAGGTTTTCATGATAGATCTGGAGTTTCCAAAACTCTGGCTAAACAGAGCTCAGGCTTTGAAGTCAGGCACATCTGTGTCTAATCCTGCTTCTGCTACATGATAGGTAAATTTGGGCAGGTAACTTAAAACCTTATTGGAGTTACAACATGAAATTTACACATCTCAAAATTTACCTATTACAAGTGTGCAGTTTGATGATTTTTAGCAAATTTTTATGGTTGTGTAATCATTACCAAAATCTAATTTAAGTATTCCATCAATCCATAAAGTTGTCCCATGACCATTTGCAGCCAAACCTGGCTTCGTTTCAGCCCCAGCAATCACTAATCTGCTTTCTGTATCTATAACTTTGCTTTTTCTGTATTTGTGATTTTCTTATGAAATCACACAGTATATGGTCTTTTTATCTGCTATAGTATTTTTAAATTTTTTTCTTTGAGATAGAGTCTTGTTCTGTCACCCAGGCTGGAGTACAGTGGCATGATCTCGGTTCACTGCAAGCTCTGCCTCCCGGGTTCACGCCATTCTCCTGCCTCAGCCTCCTGAGTAGCTGGGACTACAGGTGCCCACCACCACACCCGGCTAATTTTTTGTATTTTTAATAGAGATGCGGTTTCACCGTGTTAGCCAGGATGGTCTCGATCTCCTGACCTCATGATCTGCCCTCCTTGGCCTCCCAAAGTGCTGGGATTACAGGCATGAGCCACCGCGCCTGGCCTTTTTTTTTTTTTTTTTTTTTTTTTTTACTTTCATCCATGTTACAGCATGTATTGGTTTATTTTTATCACCAATATTCTATTGTGTGGCTATACTACATATTGTTTACTCATTCACAAACTGATAGACATTTGAATAGTTTCCACTTTTGCCTCTTATGAGTAATCCTGTAATGGACATTTAGGTACGAGTCCATGGACATGTTTTCATGTCTTTTAGGTATATACCTAGGAGTGAAATCGCTGGGTTATATGGTAATTTATGCTTAATTTTTTAAAACACTGTCAAACTGCTTTCCAAAGTGCCTGTACCATTTTACATTCTCACCAGGGATATAGGAGTGTTTTTTTCTCCATGTTCTTGCCAAACTTGTTTTCTACTTTTTTGTTTTTTTGTTTTGTTTGTTTTTGAGATGGAGTCTCACTCTGTCGCCCATGCTGGAGGGCAGTGGCACGATCTCGGCTCACTGCAATCTCTGCCTCCCAGGTTTAAGTGATTCTCCTGCCGGAGTCTCCCGAGTAGCAGGGATTACAGGCACCTGCCACCACGCCCAGCTAATTTTTGTATTTTTAGTAGAGACAGGGTTTCACCATGTTGGTCAGGCTGGTCTCGAACTCTTGACCTCAGGTGATCCATTCTCCTTGGCTTACCAAAGTGTTGGGATTACAAGCATGAGCCACCTAGCCCCGCCGAAACTTGTTTTCTATTTTTCTGATTATAGCCATTCTAGTGAGTATTAAGTGGTATCTTATTATGCTTTCAATTTGCATTTCTCTAATGATTAATGATGTTGAATATCTTTTTATGTGCTTACTTGCCATTCATAAATCTTCTTTGGTAAAATATCTATTCAAATGTTTTGCCCACTATTAGGTAATTTGTCTTCTGTGTTCTTTGCTCTGGATACAAATCTTTTGTTGAACATATGATTTGCAAATATTTTCTCCTAGTTCATGGTGTTTTTTTTTTTTTTTTTTTGAGATTGAGTTATGCTCTGTTGCCCAGGCTGGAGTACAGTGGCACGATTTCGGCTCACTGCAACCTTTGCCTCCTGGATTTAAGCAATTCTCCTGCCTCAGTCTCCTGAGTTGTTGGTATTACAGGTGCCCGCCACCACACCCAGCTAATTTTTGTATTTTTAGTAGAGATGGGGTTTCACCATGTTGGCCAGGCTGGTCTCAAACTCCTGACCTCAGGTGATCCACTTGCCTCAGTCTCCCAAAGTGCTGGGATTACAGGCGTGAGCCACTGTGCCTGTCCCTTTTGCTTTATTTTCTACTTTTTTTGTTGTTGCTTTTTGCCTAAGACAGACCAAGATTTTTTGTTTTTTTCTTTTTTTGAGATAGCGTCTGGCTCTGTCATCCAGGCTGTTGTGTAGTGGCGGAATCTCAGCTCACTGCAAACTCCGCCTCCTGGGCCCAAACCATCTTCCCACCTCTGCCTCCCAAGTAGCTGGGACTACTACAGATAATTTTTGTATTTTTTGTAGAGATGGGGTTTCACCATCTGGCCCAGGCTGGTCTTGAACTCCTGAGCTCAAGCGATCCACCCACCTTGGCCTCCCAAACTGCTGGGATTACAGATGTGAGCCATTGTCCTGGTCTAGATTTTTTGTTTCAATACATGAACTAAAAGCTTTAAATTTCTATTATGTCAATTACCAATTTTTTCTTTTGTAGATCATGATTTTAGTGTCATATCTAAGCAAACTTTGCTTAATATCAAGATTTTCCTTTTTTTTTTCTGAAATTTATGGTTTTAGCTTTAATAGGCCCATGATCCACTTAAATCAACTTTTATGTGTGATGTGAGCTAAGAATCAAAGTTCTTTTTTTTCCCTCCCACATCATTCGTTAAAAAGATTACCCTTTCCCCATGGATTGTTTTAGCACCATTGTTGAAAATCAGTTCACCATAATGTAAAGGTTTATTTGTGGACTATCTGTTCAATTCCATTGATCGATATATGTGCCTCTATGCCAGTATTAGAGTCTTCATTACTGTAGTTTTATAATAGGTTTTGAATTCAGTTGGTGGAAGTTCTCCATCTTTTTGTGTTTCAAAATCCCTTTATTCTGGTTCCTTTTCATTTCATATAAATCTCAGGACCAAACTTGACAATTTTTTTTTTTTTTTTTTTTTGAGACGGAGTCTCGCTCTGTTGCTAGGCTGGAGTGCAGTGGGTTTCGCCATGTTGGCCAGGCTTGTCTCGAACTCTTGATCTCAAGTGATCTGTCCTCCTTGGCCTCCCTAAGTGCTGGGATTACAGGTGTGAGCCACCGCGCCTGGCCTCATGTTCTTTCTTTAAAAATACAAATTAGCAATCCATTTAATTCCACAAAGGGGAAAAGTAAAAGAACACAGAAATGCTTGAGTTCAATTTGCTGAGACCAATAAAATGTACTTTCAAGAAAATTGCACAGCACTAGCATTGGAGGCCAAAAAAATAAGATACGGACTCTATATTCAAGGAATTTATAAACAGATAAATTTTTCTGCTGGCTGAGGTACTTCTCTGACTGTTAAAGCAGGCAAAGGGAAGAAATGTTCCTCTGAGACCTCGTCTAACCTCTCAAACTTCCAACTGCAACAATGGCAGCTTTATTTTTATTTTAATATTTATGTGTTGAGGGTTCCACATAAGATTAAATTTGAATAAAGCACTCTATGCCTTTAGAAAAGTTTGAAAATCACTGGTCTAATAAAAGAACAGTGAAAACTGGCAGGCAGCTATATTATAAAAAGAATACTGGATTGAGGGTTCATGATCCCTGTTTCATTCTAGTTGTTGAACATGTACAGCCATGTCGAAGGAAAAGTTCTAGTTCTCACCTCTCATTAAGGGTGGCATTTTAAAGGTGAATTTTAATGTCATTCATCTAATAAATATTTGTTGCATGTAATAAACACGTTATTCATATATTCATAGTAAAGTAATAGCGAGAAAGGAAGTAAGGAACATCCTGAGGATATCAGCCGTCATCAGAGATGTGACAAGCTGGGTCTCAGAGCACAAGTCTGCCAATTGATTAAAAAGGAAAAAAAATGAGGCATCGTAGATAGAATCATACGTTCAGAAGAACAGAATTAGAAATAGCTACCACTGAATGAACATTTCCTCTATGCATAGAATTTTATCCTCACCACACCTATGGATATAGAACTTATTATCCCCATGCAGACAGGGGTATGCCAAAATCACAAAACTCGTGATTGGCAGCGCCACGTTTGAAACTGGGGTTGTCTGATTTCAAAGCCAAGGCTCTGGGTTCACAGAAGTACATGCACTGAAGAGGTGTGAAGCAACATGGGACTACTGGAAGAAGGAGGCGGTGGGCCACGAGGCTGGAAATGCAGGCACCTGCTCTCGTTCACTTGACCACAGAGCAACTTGGGCAAAGAAGGGGTGGGCTGACATTGGAGTATGGAACAAACGCATGATTTCAAATAAGCATGTGTGTATCCATCCCAGTTCTGTCCGCGGAAAAGGCCCAGAAGCAATGACACACCAAGCCCTGTGGAATGGTGGGGTCCACTAGGACCTCCAGGCTTGCTCCCCGCCCTACCCGCCGGTTTCTCCGCCACATTCCACTGCCGCAGTAGAATCAGTGTCCTTCACCTGCCTGCGTCTTCTGCACTTCGTTAAGCGGCGCCCTTAGCTCCTGTGACACTTTAGGGAGAAAGCCGCAGCACTCGCGATGTTGGCCGCCATTAACGCCCGGCAAAGCGCCGGGAACTAGAAGCAGCAAAGAACCCGGCTGGGTAGCTACCAGGACAGGCAAGCCGGAAGCGGAGCTGCGGGAGGGACCTCGACGCTCCTCCATCTTTAATTGGAGCTCACCGCTGCCAGTCGCGCTGCCCGCCCGTCCCACCCTTTTCGTGCAGACATTCAGCTAAATGACGGGCGGAGCCGGGCGGCGACTTCCGGTCGGGGGAGAAAAGTTGGGCCGAAGGAGGGGCCGGGAAGACGAAGGAGGAAGAAGAGAAAACGGCCGGGCGGCGGCGGCTGTAGGTTGTGCGGCGGCAGCGGCTCTCCCCTGGGCGGACGATGGACAGCCAGGGCAGGAAGGTGGTGGTGTGCGACAACGGCACCGGGGTAAGCGCCGGGCGAGGAGGCCTTGGCGGCCACAGACGCGGTCGGGGACGAGCAGCGGGCGCGCGGGCCCTCGGCCTCCTGGGCTGCACCTCCCGGCCCTCTGGGCGAAGGGGCGCGGGGCGGTGCCTCTTACCTCCGCGGGCGTGGGAGCGAGCCGGTCTTACCCTGGTCTCCCCTGAGCCTGCCGCCCATTTAGCCTGCCACCCCCGCAGCCTTCTGGGTTGGGGCGGCTGGCGAGACCGGCACTGGACGCAGAGCCTACTGGCCGCCCGGCAGGGACCGGCTTCGCGCTCAGTTGGGGGCAATTGGGCTATAGCGGACGGAGGGGTAAAAGGCTCGGTTTGTGTGTTCCGAGAAGGGCTCTTTTCCCCAGGGCCGCCGGTGTGTAAAACGGAGAAAGACCTAGAGGCCTTCCTCTTCCTGTATAGTTGAGGATATACCGAACGAGAAGCAGGAAGCGGGTTTACTTTAAAGAAAAAAAAAAAAAGGGAAGTGCTGTCATGGAGTGTGGACCTCAGTCCTTTCGCTGTGTTTGTTGGGCTTTTAGTTTTTTTCGAGGGAAGGGGTCCAGATTGGCAGCGCATCATTCACTTTTTGTTCTGCATACTGGTGATTTGGCCCAGGTGCAGGCCCGCCGAGACCAGCATGTTCCATTGGGTGGTTTTGGGTGACCTAGGACCCCACAAGACTGTTAATTCCACTGGCCTTAGGGGAAGTTAATTAGTGTTGGTTATCCTACCCTCAGGCCCTTTTTCACCTTTCGTTTCAGAATCCAGGTAATGTTAATCTTTAAGATTCAAAAATTGTAAAATCTGACTAAGGCACTGATTTATAAACTATTTGAAAATTGTTTCTGTAATCCCAGCACTTTGGGAGGCCCAGGCGGGCGGATCACCTGATGTTAGGAGTTCGAGACCAGCCTGGTCAACGTGGTGAAACCCAGGTCTACTAAAAATACAAGAACTAGCCGGGCGTGGTGGCGCATGCCTGTAATCCCAGCTACTTGGGAGGCTGAGGCAGGAGAATCGCTTGAAGCCAGTAAGCGGCGGTGAGCCGAGATTGCGCCACTGCACTCCAGCCTGGGCGATAAGAGTGAAACTCCGTCTCAATTAAAAAAAAAAAAAAAAAAAGTTGTTTCATTCAAATCTCTGTCTTGCTAGATTTTAAAAAAATGTATTTCGGGTAGCAAAGTCAGCAAATTAGAAGATGGAAATACTACTTATTCTGGATGACGACCTTAGTGATTTCTAACCATTTTGATGTTGCAACATTTTGTGACTTTTCTCTCCTCCCTCCTATACATATGATATATGAATTAAAGTACGTTTTACTTGAACAAAACACTTTGGAATCTGAATTGTTGAGGGGGAAAAAGCTGGTATTTACTGCCATAATACTGCCTATGATTAGATTTGTTACAGAATTTTACAAGCAATAATTATGTTAGCTTCATCTGAATTGTGTTAAAAACGGACTAGAGTAAAAAGAGTGTTAACATACAATGAGGCCAGATGCAGTGGCTCATGCCTTTAATCCCAGCACTTTGGGAGGTCGAGGCGGGCGGATCACCTGAGGTCAGGAGTTCGAGACTAGCCTGGCCAACGTGGTGAAACCCCGTGTCCACTAAAAATGCAAAAATTAGCCAGGCATGTTGGTGGGTGCCTGTAATCCCAGTAATCCCAGCTACTCGGGAGGCTGAGGCAGAAGAATCACTTGAACCCGTTAGGCAGAGGTTGCAATGAGCCAAGATGGTGCCACTTCAGCCTGGGCGACAGAGCAAGACTCCTCTCAAAAACAAACAAACAAAACATATTAATGGGGCGGTTTTTAAGAATGTAATACTTTTAAAGAGGCAGATCCATTGCTATGGAAACATGTCTAAGATTTATTAAGTTGAAAAAGGTTTCAAAATGATTCAGTTTAAGTATATGTTCCTTATTAAAGATGTATGTCCACAAACCTGTATCTGCATATAAAGTTTTTGGAGGGATACATAAGAAATGTTCATAATGGTTACCTGTGAGACAAAGGATAAGGGAGTGAGGGAAGATGGGGAGGACTTCATGACCTTTCTGAATTATTGGAAAAATGTTCTTTATTTGAACAAAGCATGTATTATTAAACTATATTTAAATTAACCATAAACACATGTTACATGTGCAGTTAAAATTCAGTTAAAGGTGCTTTTTAAAAAATTATTAGCCTGGTTTCCACTGTAGTCTCAAATTGGCCCCTAAATAAATTCAAAACTTTAAAAATTGAATTTAAAATTTTTTGTTTTGTAATTGTGTCAGATACTCTTTTTAGAAAGTCAAGCCAGTTATATTTTAATGAATTCTTCCTCTTTTAGGGGTTTGAGGCAATGAGCCCTGTATTTGTAGTATATATGAGTTTTTAAATATTAAATTAGAATGGGAATGTTAACTGTAAGCTGAGTTTTGTTGGTTTTCTTTTTTGACACAGGATCTTGCTCTATTGCCCAGGCTGGAGAGCAGTGGCGTGATCTCGGCTCTCTGCAACCTCTGCCTCCTGGGCTCCAGTGATTCTGCTTCAGCCTCCCGAGTAGCTGGGACTATAGTCTTGTGCCACCACACCCAGCTAATTTTTTATTTTGTAGAGACTGGTTCTCCCTATGTTACCCAGGCTAGTCTTAAACTCCTGGGCTTAAGAGATCTGCCCACCTCGGCCTCCTAAAGTGCCAGGATTACAGGCTTGAGCCACTGCACCCTGCTGTCAGAAGCTAATGTTATGTTACTATTCCATTAGTTAGCTAACATTGGAAAGCTGATTTTAGGCTGGGCATGGTGGCTCATTCCTGTAATCCCAGCACTTTGGGAGGCCAAGGCAGGAGGATCACTTGAGGTCAGGAGTTTGAGACCAGCCTGGCTATCATGGTGAAACCCTGTGTCTACTAAAAATACAAAAATTAGCTGGGCATGGTGGCTGTTGCCTGTAATCCCAGCTACTTGGGAGGCTGAGGCAGAATTGCTTGAACCTGGGAGGCGGAGGTTGCAGTGAGCCAAGATTGCGCCACTGCACTCCAGCCTGGGCAACAGAGTGAGACTCTCACACACAAAAAAAGAAAGCTGATTGTAATATGTTATTGGTTAGTCTGGTGTCTAATCCATATTTTTAAGATCCTTTTCCTTAAGACAAATGATCGGTTCCTGTCATATAAATGAAAAAAGTGAGTGTAGTTAATTCAAATAAAAATTTATTTGTTCTTATGCTTCTAGTTATTTTAAAATTTTATTCAGATTTTCTGTGGACCTGATTGGTTTCAAATGAAGAAACAGTGCTGATAAAATACATGAATCATGTAACAGGAATGCTGTAATAGTTCTGAGTATGTAGAGGACTAGGAACCACTTAAATTGTGTATTCTGTTTCTTACCATTTGTAGACGTGAATAGTCATCTTGATTTTATTCAGATACCTGAAGTTATAATGATTGCTTTATAATTAAATATTAAAGAGGATATTCAGGTGTAATTTTGAAAAATTTATGGAAATAGTTGTTACCCTAAGGTGTTTTCATTTGCTCCTTACATGCCTTAGGTTTTAAATCGTAGGTTTTAAAATTGTAGGCTGGGCCAGGTGCGGTGGCTCAAGCCTGTAATCCCAGCACTTTGGGAGGCCGAGATGGGCGGATCACGAGGTCAGGAGATCGAGACCATCCTGGCTAACACGGTGAAACCCCGTCTCTACTAAAAGATACAAAAAACTAGCCTGGCGAGACTCGGGAGGCTGAGGCAGGAGAATGGCGTAAACCCGGGAGGTGGAGCTTGCAGTGAGCTGAGATCCGGCCACTGCACTCCAGCCTGGGCGACAGAGCGAGACTCCGTCTCAGAAAATAAATAAATAAATAAATAAATAAATAAATAAATAAATAAATAAATAAAATTGTAGGCTGGCTGGTGTGGTTCCTCATGCCTGTATTTCCAGCATTTTGGGAGGCCGAGGTGAGAGGATTTCTTGAGGCCAAGAGTTTGAGACCAGCCTGGGTTAATACAACAAGACCCCATAGCTAGTAAAAAATAAAAATAAACTTACAGGCTTTTTGAAAAGTTGGTGATTTTTTTAACCCCTCCGGCGGACCCAAATTAAGTATTCTAGGACAGGAGTGTCCAGTCTTTTGGCTTCCCTGGGCCACACTGAAAGAAGAATTGTCTTGGGCCACACGTAAAATACACTAACAATAGCTGATGAACTGAAAAAATTGCCAAAAAAATGTTTTAAGAAAGTTTATGAAATTGTGTTGGGTCTCATGCAGCCCTTGGGCCATGGGTTGGACAAGCTTGCCTGGAAACAAGTGTGTCCTTACGATCATGAGCCCGATGTTGGTCCTGCTCGATTTTCTATCTCCCAGCTTGACCAGTGTCTCAGCAGGATTGCCCAGAGGAGGAAAACTCATTTGATCCAATAATTTATGTGGTTTTTAACCATTCAAACCTCCTTCTGAAATCAAGCCACTTGGGCGATAGGTGAAAATCTGGAGGTCTGTGAAACTCTAGGTTTAGGTCCTCTTCATGAGCTAGGCCCAGGCCCCTGGTGTTGTGTGTCTTGTTACCGGACTAGGGTGATTTCATCAGCAGTGAGTTAGATCACCAACAAAATGAAGGTTTTCCTAGTGCTTGCTATGTTGCTGGCATAGTGCTTAATAAGGTCCAGTCGTACAGAGAAGCTTATAGTGCTAGAATAACTGCATTCGCATTTATGTAATTGACATTTGTAGCTGATTGTGGCCTGCTTTATCAGGCTTATGCTACTTTATATGTTGAATTTAGGAGTGTTTGAAACAGAAACAAACCAAAATCAAATTTGATTTCATCTTGCAAAATGCTTTGGAATAAGTAGAATAAATCTTTTGGTGGCCTAAGATCAGAACTGTCACTGTGCAGTTAACGTACTAAGTAACATCAGTTTTATGAGATAAAATTAGTAAGGGGAAAATAAATATTAAATAAGCCCAAATGGGGCTTTATAAATCCCAGGTTGTTATTTTTTTTTTTTGAAGAGAAAAAATGTACTTTTAGAGCAGATGCAGATAGAATTTTTCATTTTTGCTTGAAAGAATATTATACTGTTCATATTCTTAACCATTTGATGACTCAGTGGGAAGTAAGGGAACTAGTTTAAACCACACTGATATGAAGAGGAAACTATATATGGTAAAATCTATTTCTTAAACACAGCCTTACTGCACACAATGAAAGAACAAAGTCACCAAGTCTTAAAATGATTGACATGGGGGAGGAATTTCAAGGATTAAGACGATACCAATGATACCAAATGATAGTTTAGAAAATAATGTTTTCTTTGTATTGTATCACATCATGGTTTAGTGTTTTTTTTTTTTTTTTTTTTAAGACAGAGTCTTGCCGTGTTGCCCAGGCTGGAGTGCAGTGGCGTGATCTTGTCTTACTGCAGCCTCCATCTCCCAGGTTCAAGCAGTTGTTCTGCCTCAGCCTCCCCAGTAGCTGGGATCACAAGATGCTGGGATTATAGATGTGAGCGCTGCGCCCGGCCTTGATTTTTTAAAAATACTAATTATTATTATTTGCAGAAGTAATCAGATTGTCAGTTTTATATTATTGAAAAGTTGGGGTCAGGCACTGTGGCTGATGCCTATAATCCCAGCACTTTTGGAGGTAAAGGTGGGAGGATTGCTTGAGGCTGGGAGTTCAAGACCAGCCTGAGCAACAGTGAGACCCCTGTCTCTACAAAAAATAATATAACTTTAAAATTATAATTTTTATTTTTTCTTTACTGCTTCTTGCAGAGCAGGGCTACCCTATAGGCAGTGTGCCCAGAGTAGCCAGTATAATTTTTTTTTTTAATTATTTTATTTTATTATTGTTTTTGAGGCAGAGTCTCACTGTGTCGCCTAGGCTGGAGTGCATTCATATAATCTCGGCTCACTGCAACCTCCACCTCCCGGGTTCAAGCAATTCTTCTGCCTCAGCCTCCCGAGTAGCTGGGATTATAGGTATGCACCACCACGCCCGGCCAATTTTATAGTTTTAGTAGAGATGGGGTTTCACCATATTGGCCAAGCTGGTTTCGAATTCCTGACCTCAAGGGATCCACCTGCCTCGGCCTCCCAAACTCCCAAAGTGCTGGGATTACAGGCGTGAGCACCCACACTCAGCCATTTTTTTTTTCCCCAGACAGGATCTCACTCTGTTGCCTACGCTGGAGTGCAGTGGTACAATCATGGATCAACATAGCCTCGACCTCCCCGGGCTCAGGTGATCCTTCCACCTCAGCCTCCCGAGTTTCTGGGGCTACAGGTGTGTGTCACTATGCCTGGCTAATTTTTGTATTTTTTGTAGAAATGGGGTTTTGCTGTGTAGTTTCAGGCTGGTCTCAAACTCCTGGGCCCAAGTTATCCACCCACTTTGGCTTCCTAAAGTGCTGGGATTACAGGTGTGAGCCACCACTCCCAGCCAATTATTTTAGTTCTTGTTATTATAACTGTTAATGCTTTCATACTTGAAGTAATGTGAAATAGTGCAATTTTTGCTATCTTGATGGATTAAGGTAAAAAAAAAAAAAAAAAATGACCTGGGCATGGTGGGATACACCTGTAGTCCCAGCTATTCAGAATCACTTGAACCTGGGGGGTGGAGGTTGCAACGAACTGAGATGGAGCCACTGCACTCCAGCCTGGGCGACAGAGTGAGACTCTTGTCTCAAAAAAATAATAATAAAAATAAAAACTTATTTGGGCCTGGTGGCATATACCTGTAGTCCCAGCTACTTGGGAGGCTAAGGCGGGAGCATCACTTGAGCCCAGGAGTTAGAGGCCACAGTGAGCTGCACTTGTGCCACTGCGCTCCAGCCTAGGCAACATACAAGACCCAAACTCTAAATTTTAAATATTTTTTAAATTAAAAAAATATTAAAAGCTTGATTCTCTCTTAGGTTTTACTGTAGTTAAATCCCCTAGAATATCAGTTTCTTATGTATAAAATGGAAGTTTTATCACTATCAATGATATGTTCTCCTTGGAGCAGTACACTGAAAATGAAATTATGTTACCTGGTATTACTAAATACATTTATCTAAATATAAAAATGTGAATAGCTAGCCAGGCATGGTGACTCAACTCCTGCAATCTCAGCACTTTGTGAGGCCAAGGTGGGCAGATAACCTGAGGTTAGAGACCAGCCTGGCCAATATGGTGAAACCCTGTCTCTACTAAAAACGCAAAAATTAGCTGGCGTGGTGGTGGGTGCCTGTAATCCCAGCTACTTGGGAGGCTAAGGCAGAAGAATTGCTTGGACCCGGGAGTCTGAGGTTGCAGTGAGCTGAGATCACGCCACTGCACTCCAGCCTGGACAACAAGAGTGAAACTCCGTCTAAAAATAAACAAATAGCCAAAAACGCCTAATAAATGTTTATTTTCATAGTATCATGATACTAGTTTAAATGATACTTAGTTTTCCCATTTTGGAAAATGACATTGTCTAAGCGATTTGCCCAAAATTAATGAAAGTCTGCTTCAGAATTGAAGCTTTAGCACATTTCTCTTTTTAAAAATACTTAGCATTTGACTGGGCATGGTGGCTCAACGCCTGTAATCCCAGCACTTTGGGACGCCTAGGCGGGCGGATCACCCAAGGTTGGGAGTTTGAGACCAGCCTGACCAACATGGAGAAACCCCGTCTCTACTGAAAATACAAAATTAGCTGGGCTTGGTGGCGCATGCCTGTAATCCCAGCTACTTGGGAGGCTGAGGCAGGAGAATCACTTGAACTCAGGAGGCGGAGGTTGCAGTGAACCCAGATCATGCCATTGCACTTCAGCCTGGGCAGCAAGAGTGAAACTCCACCTCAAAACAAAAACAAAAACAACTTAGCATTTGTTCAGCGAATTTGTCCATCCCACAGATACTTCTGGAGTGAGTACTGTGCCAGGATCTCTGTTAGGTATCGGATTCTAGCACGAACTGCTCAGCTTAGCTCCCTGCTCTTATGAGGCTTTTGCTCTAGTGAGGGGACTTAGGCACTAATTTAGCAGTAAATAAACATGAACCCTGGGAGTAGTCAATGCCATGAAAGAAGTAAAGTGGAGAGGTTGCAATAGATTGAGTGGCTACTTTGGGTGGACTGAAAGCACCAAAAGTTTAAAATGTTATATAAATGCAAAGTGATATTTTTCAAATGCTGTCTTAAAATATAGTAAATACCCTGATGCTAACCCACTTTTATTTTACTGTTTCATTCCAGTTTGTGAAGTGTGGATATGCAGGCTCTAACTTTCCAGAACACATCTTCCCAGCTTTGGTTGGAAGACCTATTATCAGATCAACCACCAAAGTGGGAAACATTGAAATCAAGGTAATGTTTTATTTATTGATAAATGATAATCAAGACATGTGAGGTGTTCTTGTAAAAGTAGTTTAACAGTTCTTTTAAGTAGTTTTAAAATATGTTGCCATAAAAAGCAAAGGGGAGGGCAGAAGGTCTCATATTTTTAATTTATATCAACACCTGAACAGGTGCACAAAAATTGAAGTTAATTTCATCTGATTTTGTTTATGTATGGCTTGATGCCATTACTCGTTGGAGTAAAATACTTAAGTGTATTACATTAATGTGAAACACTGTGTTAGTGACTTAAGTCCTATTATGTAATATGATTTTTAAAAGAAATCGGCCTGGTATTTTTATGTCTTTCAATTCCATATATTTGTCGTTGTATGTGAGTGTCTCTTTGGCACCTTAGACTTTTTCTTTTCATGTTTTTATGGCCTGATCCCTCTACTTTTTTATGTAGCCATTTAGGAAAACACAGGGTGTAACTCTCATTGATTCCTCTTTTCATTAATACAACTTATTTCCATAATGTGCAGAAGGAAGTCATGCAAGCCTTTATTTGGCCTTGCATTATATATTTTACCATGTAGAGGAAGGAAAGTTTTCACTGCCTACTCGCTGTATTTAACATGAAAGACTACATGAAAAGATGGTAGATTTTTCTCCCATATTAAAGGGATCAGAAATCAAGTAGGAGTTAGAATATTTGAGAAGAAAGAACAGTCAGAGGACAGTGGTCACCAATTGGCTTTAAGTTCTTCAGTTGACTGAGGGATCAAGTTACACAGAATGCAGTAGAATTTAGGGTTTTTTTTAGTGAATTATTTGTGAACACGCTAGCATTGTTGGTCCTATCTGGATAGTCTTTAGCAAGCCTTCAGTGTAAGGTTATGAGTCATTTGAAATATGCATTAGAGTATATCTCTTTGGGACATTTGTTTGATGTAGGAAGTTGGTTATAGATGGTAGAGATTTGCATGTAGCTTTCTGCTTTTGGGATAGAGAGTTGAGTTACACAATGAATAAAAATACAAGCTGAAACTTGGGTTCTGTGTTAGTTTTTTTTTAAAAGAGTTAAAGTAGTGAGTTATTCTGGCCTCTCCTGTTAACAAAAAAAATAAAATGGGACACTCAAGTTTTTCCTTTTTAAGGAGCTTTTGGAATATTTGTGGGATTCCTTATTTGCTTATTGTGAACTCCTTTCATTCTGAATGAATTCTATCTTAAATGAACTTTGACTTGAAATTAGCTAATAATAGTGATAAGGATAAATGTTTAATGAAGTTGAAGGCTATACTTTTTATTCAGTGTCAGGTTTTTAAAGAATGGCTATATACTGAGGGGCAATGAAATTTTTGAGGTGTGAAGAAATACCTTGTATAGCCATTTTTATTTTCCAACATAGGCACAAATAACTACACATCTCTTCATGCCCACGTTCTTCGTTTTTAAGGCCAAGTGATAAAAATCAAATTTGTCAATATGCTAATAAAATATTTTTGCCAAGGAATTCCCTAGCAGTATTTGCTTGTATGGTTTGTCATTCTGTATTCTATTGGCTCAATTCTGTTCACTCTGTGCAATCTTGTAAGCCTATCAAGTTAAATTGTTCTTCCAGTAGAAAACAGCAAAAGATAGCTATGTCAAATAAATTTAACTTGAACATTAGAGCTTGGAAAAACAACCCTGAGCTATCTGACTCTATGCCTACTCAGCTAGACCTTTGCTGTTATCATTTATTTTTCTTAATTAAAGTTCTTAAATTCAGTAATGAATTAAAGAAGCTTACTTTTTGGAATTCCTGTGCTTAGTATTTTGACTTATACTTTTTGTGTCTTGTTAGCTAAAATGTGGTAGACTAAAAAATGGAAATTTAAATCGTTTAATGAGTTAATTTGCATTCAGGAATAACTGTCCTTGTTAATTTGGCCCTAATTATTAACTCCATTAAATATAGTAGTACTGCATCTGACCTCAACCTAATTGTCTCTATTGCTTGTATGTTTAAACATTTCAGTGAGGATTTTATTTAGGCCTTTTCTGACTCTTACTTCTACCTTCTCTCTCTTCACCTTTCTTGACCCGTTGAAGTAGAATAACAAAAAGATGGTAAGTGAGGTTACACACATGCTCTGTTTGTTTTCCACTTTTGCTTGATGGGACAGTAGTTGTTGTTTTGTGTCCCTTTAGTAGTGGGGAGGGGGGGTTATTCCATATTTTTATTTTAAATACTTTGATTTTTAACCTTTTTCATTGCTTCAATTTGATAGCAACTAATTAAGTCCTATACTTTCCTGATTGCGTACAATGGACCAAACAAGAACTAATTACTAACATAGTTTTGAATTGTTTTCCTTGTAGATGAATGTTATAGTTAAAATGGAATGTGTTGTGCATATTAGAAACAAAATGACTTTATTTGGATATGTGTGATCCAGAAAATTCAAGTGAAGTTGTTGCATTTGAATAAATTCACTTTATTGACCAGTGTTAAATTGAACATTGACTGTCATAGCCTGTATATATATTTGCATCTAGTATGGTATCAGATGTGTACTTAATAAATGGAGTAAAATTTTAATATGTAAAGGAACCATAGATAGAAAAAAGAGAATTCTTTCCATATCATCCTTACTGATGAGCAGATTTCATAAGGTTATCTGAGAATAAATAAGAAAAAGATAAAGCTTTTCTATAAACAACAGATTCCCCCCCCCCCCCCGCAAATAAATAACATTGTGCAGTGCCTTTTTCTTTTCAACTAAAAGCTTGCTGGGCTTATCTCAGACATTTAACTCTTTCATTGTATTTTTCTGTGATAGTGTAAGTGCTTCTGTAGTAGACACTTTTCAGATTTGTTTTTAATATTGTTTGTAAGAATCTCTGACAAAAATCAGGCACTTCTAATACGATATATTTTAACTAGTAATAGTAACTTTGTGAAGTTTTCTTTTCAATAAACAAAACCATTTAAAAGAGGAAATTTATCCTAAATAAAAGATCATATATTTGTGTTAATATTCTAATGAGATTAAGAAAATGGTGTGCTTGCTGGGCACAGTGGCTCGCACCTGTAATCCCAGCACTTTGGGAGGCCCAGGCGGGTGGATCACAAGGTCAGGAGTTCAAAACGGGGTTTCACCATCTCTACTAAAAATACAAAAATTAGCCAGGTGTGGTGGTGCGTGCCTGTAATTCCAGCTACTCAGGAGGCTGAGGCAGGAGAATCACTTGAACCCAGGAGGCAGAGGTTGCGGTGAGCTGAGATCGCGCCGCTGCACTCCAGCCTGGGCAACAGAGTGAGACTCCATCTCAAAAAAAGAAAAGGAAAGGGTGTGCTTGTAGAGAACAGTGTAGTCTTATTTTAACAGAAGTTTTTGACCTAGTGAGATGGTTCATGCCTCTAATCCCAGCACTTTGGCAGGACTAGGAGGAAGGATACCTTGAGCCCAGAAGTTCAAGACCAGCCTAGGCAACATGGCAAGACCCTGTCTCTACAGAAAGTTTTTAAAAAAGTAACCAGGCATAGTAATATGTGCCTCCCTAGCTACTTGGGAGGTTAAGGCAGGAGTATCGCTTGAGCCCAGAAGTTTGAGGCTTCAGTGGGTGATGACAGGGCCACTGCACTCCAGCCTGGGCGACAGAGCAAGACCCTGCCTCTATTAGTTAATTGAACAATCAAACAAACAAATGTTTTCAGTGGAGTTTTCTTCTAGGGATTTAATTGTGCTTTTGAACTTGAGTTTACTTGTGTTCTAATACGAGGTGACATTGTTCAAAATGATTCTTGGCAAATATAATCCCTACTACCCACTTTTCATGAAGTATAAATACCTTTGAAACAGCATCTCAGTTACTGTGATTTTTTTCATTCTTTCAGATAGGTGATGTTCAGTGGTGGGGCAGGTGGTTAATACCTAAGGTCTGATCTGATCACTTATAACTTGGTTCTGAGTGATGAAGGCAAGTTATATAACACTTAGTAGGATTTTTTGTTTAAAATTTTAGATATGAAAATTTTTTAATTGGATAGCTTGAATAGTCAAACTTTGTACTTCTTAAATAAGTTAATACTCCGTTTTAAATGTCCTCTTTGTTCTAAGGAAGGCAAGGATATTCATTTCTAAACATTTCTTTCAGTTAATCCTTTATAGTATGTGTGGTCCTAGAAGTCGATACATGAGGCATTTATTTAGAGTTGGCATTGGGTCATGTAAATGTAAGCCCCTATTCGTACGTTAAATGAAAAGTAAATTTCTGTTGAAATCAGATCAGACTTATTTCAAATTGGTTGAAATAATACTGATTATATTACCTAACTGTCTAATCTGTTATATTGTACAACACAAAAAAGGACGTAGAGGAAAGTTAGTAACAAAAATAGTATATATAATTACAGGTATAGATTTCACTCCTAACATTTTATTAAGCAGTATTAAGAAAACATAGCAATACTGAAATGATTTTACAATGAAACTTGTATATCCATCACCTAGATTCTGACATTAATATATATCATATTGATTTATTACATATCTGTTCGTCTATTCATTCATCAGTGCATCTTGTTTTTTAATGGATTTCAAAGTAAGTTGCAGATACCAGTATACTTCAACATGTGCATGTTATTAACTAGAATTCACAAATACAGATTTTCTGTTTTGCATATTCCTCATAGAAGAATCTAAACAGTTGGTTGGGCGTGGTGAGTCATGCCTGTAATCCTAGCACTTTGGGAGGCTGAGGTGGGCTGATCTCCTGAGCCCAGGAGTTCAAGACCAGCCTGGGAAACATGGTGAAACCCCTAAAAATACAAGAATTAGCTGGGCATGTAACCTGTAGTCCCAGCTACGTGGGAGGCTGAGGTGGGAGGGTCACCTGAGCCTGCAGAAGTTGAGGCTGTGGTGAGCCATAATGGCACCACTGCACTTCAGCTTGGGTGACAGAGTAAGACCCAATCTAAAAAAAAAAAAAAAAAGAGTCTAAACATTTAATATTTCAGAACTTTGAGTAATAAGTTAGTAAGTTATGTTAAATTAACTTCATCAGAAATTGCAACAGACATTTTTACTGAACATTTCTAGCATCTGTTTTTAACTTTGTTGTAGTTTTTGATGTTGCTTTTAGTGGATTTTCCAGAGATCTGTTTGTTTTTTGGTTAGAGTCCTCACCTTGGTTTCATCTCTGATCTTTTTTTTTTTTTTTAAACATGTATTTTTAAGCCTTCATTTTAAAACATCTCATGTTGGCCAGGCGCGGTGACTCATGCCTGTAATCCCAACACTTTGGGAGGCCGAGATGGGTGAATCACTTGAGGTCAGGAGTTTGAGACCAGCCTGGCCAACATGGTGAAACCCCATCTCTACTAAAAATACAAAAATTAGCCAGGCGTGGTGGCAGGTGCCTGTAATCCCAGCTACTTGAGAGGCTGAGGCAGGAGAATCGCTTGGACCTGGGAGGAGGAGGTTGTAGTGAGCTGAGATCATGCCACTGCACTCTAGCCTAGGCAATAGAGTGAGACTCAGTCTCAGAAAAATAATCTTGTGTTAATTTTGCTGCTGCTTTTTTTTTGTCTCTCCATAATTAAAACTTAATGTATTGTAGCAAGTATCTGCTTCTGATACTAGTTGTGTTTTATTGAATTTATCAACATGTGTAGAAATTAATATTATTTAACATGTTGACTAGATGTTTTCTAAAAATAAATCTAAATGCTAGGACGTCCTTAGCCTTATTATGTATACAAAATGTGACTTTCAAATGTGGATCATCTTAAGTATGCTCTCATTGGAGACAAGACTTGTGAGTATTATGCTTCATGTGTGATGGTGTAGTTTTCCAATATTGTACTTTAAACTTGAAAATGTTGCTCAGGAGATGATTTTAAAGGATAGGTTGTTTGCCTATATCTTAATTTTTTATAACTCTACAGATTTTCATTCACCTTGGTGAGGCATATGTAGAAACAGTTTAAATTCTAATTCAGGCATATGTAGATAGAAGTTTGTGCCATTTATAAGTTAGTTGGTGTATGTATGCATTATTATAGAGTAATAAAGAATCATTTTATTTTTTGCTTCTTTCATTATGCTTTATAGTACTTACATTTATCATTTTGATATTTAGTGCAAAGAATTGTGCTGCATGCATTGAGCATTTTTCTACAAGTTTTTTCCCCCTGATGTACTATTTCACATATCACAGGCCTTATTTTTTGAACAATTGAGCAAAAGAAACAGATGAAACCTCATACAAAACCCTCCAAAATATGAAAATGTGGGGTTTATTTGTGCTAATGCTCTTCTTTTGGAAACATTTGTGTTAAAGGTAAGGTCAATTTATTGATTTAAACCACATTGTACATAAAAATATATTATCCATGATTAAACTTTCTAAGACATTGTTCTTGATAGAAAAGATTTTCTAACTTGTGGAATAAAAAGCTTTATTTTGCAAGTGCCAGAAAGATTAAAATTAATTATTCCCCAGTTTTCTTGAAATATGCAAAACTTTGATGTACAGCTTTGACATAATTTTCTAGGATCTTATGGTTGGAGATGAGGCAAGTGAATTACGATCAATGTTAGAAGTTAACTACCCTATGGAAAATGGCATAGTACGAAATTGGGATGACATGAAACACCTGTGGGACTACACATTTGGACCAGAGAAACTTAATATAGATACCAGAAATTGTAAAATCTTACTCACAGAACCTCCTATGAACCCAACCAAAAACAGAGAGAAGATTGTAGAGGTGAGTTTTTATGCAGGATATGCATATGTGTATTTCTGTGATATTATGTTAAATCAAAAAAAAATTTTTTTTTTACTGTTGCTGTGGATAAAGAGAATAAAAATAATTGTTTTCCTTCAGATCTTACTAAGTATCTACTATATGCTAGTTGTTATTCTAAATAGGAAAGAAGGATAGATCAGTAAACAAAAAATCCTACGCCATGGAGTGTCTATATTCTAACAGAAAAACAGGCCAAAAAAATTTAAGTTTTTGGTGAGTTAAGGTAATTAAGTTTTTATGGAGGAGCCAGCAGAAGGAGATTGAAAAGGCTAATACAATAAGCAGTTACAGAGTTAATTAAATGGTTTGTTAGAAGGTAAGCGATCCAGTTGACCCTTGAGCAATGCAGGGGTTAGGGGCACCAACCCTCCCTACTCTTGTGCAAACTTAACTGCCCCAAAAAATACTTCTAATAGCCTACTGTTGACCAGAAGCCTTACTGATAACATACTATGTATTATATACTATATTCTTATAATAAAGTAAGTTAGAGGAAATGCTATTAAGAAGATCATAAGGAAGAGAAAACACATTTGCTATACCTTAAATGGATGTCGATCATCATAAAGATCTTCATCCTCATTGTCTTCACGCTGACAAAGAGGAGGGGTTGGTCTTGCTGTCTTGGGTGGCAGAGACAGAAGAGGTGGAGGAGGTGGAAGGGGAGGCAGGAAGGATTTATTGACAAAAATTGTGTATAAGTGGACCTGTGTGGTTCAATCTTCTTGTTATTCAAGGGTCAACTGTAGATGCTAAAGGCAAAATAAATCAGGTTAAGGGGGAGTGGGAGGTTGTAATTGTACGTAGGTTGTGAGAAGGTGATGTTTAAACAGACAGGGGAAGTGAGTTAGCCAGGATATATAGGAAAAGGGTGTTCCAGATAAAAGGAGTAGCCAGTGTAAAGGTCTTAAGTTAGGAACAAGCCTGGCATATTAAAGAATAAGCAAGGAAGCCAGTGTGGTTGAGGGGAGAGCCACAGAAGATGAGGTCGGATAAGTAATATTGGTGCTTTGTGGGCTCTAATTAGGAATTGGGCTTTTACTCTGGGTGAAATATGAGGCTGTTACAGGAAAGGGAGATGCTCAGATTTAGATTTCTCTGTTGTGTTGTGAGTATCCCACAAGGAGGCAAAGATAGAAGTTAGAACAGTTGGAGACTTTGTCAGTCATTTAAGCAAAAGATAATGATTGTTAGGATTGGAGTAGTAGTAGTAGTAGAAATAGAAATTACCAGATTATAGGTCTATTTTGAAGGTAGGGCCAAAGAATTTTCTAATGCATTTGATATGGGTAATAGAGAATAAGGAGTCAGAGATGACTCCAAAGGTTTTGGCTTGACTGGAGGATGGAGTTACCATCAACTGAATTTTACCATCAATTTTTCTGGAGAAAAACTGAGAAAAGTAGAGCAGGGTTTGGAGGGGAATGAGCAAGAATTCAACTGTGGACATGTTGAGTTTGTAGGTCCTTATTAGACATCCAAGCAGAAATGTCAAAACAGGTAGTTATATATATGAGATCAAGTTCAAGAGAAAAGACTGGGCTGGAGGTACAAACTTGAGAGTCATCCGGATATAAATGATACGGTTCAACAAAGAAGAGAGGGTAGACAGTGTTGAAAAGGCCAAGGACCAGAGAGATAGGAGGAGCCAGCAGAAGGAGATTGAAAACGCTAATGAGGCTGGGCGAGTTGGCTCCCAGCACTTTGGAAGGCCAAGGTGGGTGGATCTCTTGAGACCGGGAATTTGAGACCAGCCTGGCCAACATGGTAAAACCCCATCCTACTAAAAATACAAAATTAGCTGGGCATGGTGGCGCACACCTGTAATCCCAGCTACTCAGGAGGCGGAGGCAGGAGAATTGCTTGAACCCAGGAGGGTGGAGGTTGCAGTGAGCTGAGATCACCCCACTGCACTCTGGCCTGAGCAACAGAGTGAGACTCTGTCTCAAAAAAAAAAGAAACAGAAAAAAAAAATGCTAATGAAGTAATGAAATAAGCAGTTACAGAGGAAAGAGAGAGCAAGAGAGCTATGGTCCTCACAGTTTAAATAAGTAAGTTTTCAAGGTTCTTTTGTTTTTGTATATATGAGGTAGAAATGTAATAACTTCTGTAGCTTTCCAGTTACTATTTAATGTAAATGTTTTGTTTATGAATGTTTAAATGTTGATGGATATTTTGAAAGGGTTTAGAAGAAAATGTTGTTAGACAGTATTTTTAAAGCCTGTATTAAAACTCAATTTTTGTATTAAGTGTTTTGAAAATCTAAGATCATTTTTAAAGAATCCGTATGATTTCTTATAGCTTACATTTTAATATTCTTATTTGTTTGAGTACAAATATGTCTATGACTGATAGTGTCCTACCTTAATCTCATTAACATGCTTTCAAGTTGGTATGTGCATATATATGATCATTCTTCCATTTTCATCCCTGTGGAGGTGGAATAAAGGATGATGGAATAAAATGCTATTCAGACTATCTAATTGTTTAATTGATGAGTATGTGTTTCAGAATTTAAATTTAAATTCTATGTAATTTTCATTGTAAAATTTCTAAATATTTAGATATTCAGAGTGATAGGCAACCCTACCAGTCAAGGAGTGCTCAGTCTAGATCACCAAAAAAAATCATGCAGGATATTCCCAGACAACCTGGGCTACAGTGAATGAACATGTGTGTGACCAGTGAGGGCACCAAGGAAACAACTCCTCCTTCCAGGATAGTTCATTAGGAGGATGTAATTACAGTCTTGATTCAAGTAGGGACTGGGCTTAGCAGCTAAGCCATTTCTGTATTTTCCAGCAATCAGGAAATAACCCTTTGCCATGCCATTTTACTGTTGTTCGTTCGTTCGTTCTTTCTTTCTTTCTTTCTTTCTTTCTTTCTTTCTTTCTTTCTTTCTTTCTTTCTTTCTTTCTTTCTTCTCTCTCTCTTTCTTTCTTTCTTTCTTTCTTTCTTTCTCTCTCTCTTTCTTTCTTTTCTTTTTCTTTCTTTTCTTTTCTTTCTTTCTTTCTTTCTTTCTTTCTTTCTTTCTTTCTTTCTTTCTTTCTTTCTTTCTTTCCTTCTTTCCTTCCTTCCTTCCTTCCTTCCTTCCTTCCTTCCTTCCTTCTTTCCTTCTTTCCTTCTTTCCTTCTTTCCTTCTTTCCTCTTTCCTTCTTCTTTCCTTCTTTCCTTCTTTCTTTCTTCTTTCGCTGCTCAGAGTAGATAGAGCTACACTCTTGGCCTAGATTGAGGGAGGGGGTGTGAAGCTCTGTAAAGCAATTTCTGTCTTTTGTCTTTGAATTAAAAGATATTTCCCTGGCTAGACGTGGTGGCTGACACCTGTAATCCCAACACTTTGGGAGGCCGAGGCAGGTGGATCATGAGGTCAGGAGTTCGAGACCAGCCTGGCCAACATACTGAAACCCTGTCTCTACTAAAAATACAAAAATTAGCCAGGCATGGTGGTGCATGCCTGTATTCCCAGCTACTCGGGAGGCTGAGGCAGGAGAATTGCTTGAACCCAGGAGGTGGAGGTTGCAGTGAGCCGAGGTTGCACCACTGTACTCCAGCTTGGGCAACAGAGTGAGGTTTCATCTCAGAAAAAAAAAAGATATTTCCCTTAAGGGACATCAATTAAGAAAGTCTTGTTCAATACAGAGAGCTTTCTTTCACACTAATTAGTCATTAACTAATACACTAAGAAATCTTTGCTTTGTCGCACTTATGAAATACTTGGAGACTTGGTATGTATCCAGAAGTCTGTCTTCAGACTTGGAGCTCTGTAGCAGCAGGACTTTAATAAGAAACAAGAGGAGCTGATGAAAATGGAAGACTATTTCAGGTCCATTTTGATTCTATTTTGGGCAATTAATTCCACTTTGTGACCATGAAGAAAACATATATTTATTATGTAAATTTCTAAATACCAGTTTTTTTTCTTTCTGTCCACATTTACAGGTAATGTTTGAAACTTACCAGTTTTCTGGTGTATATGTAGCCATCCAGGCAGTTCTGACTTTGTACGCTCAAGGTAGGTGAAGCTTAACTGTTAGAAAAAATCACTTCATCACACATTTATTACGTACATTTTATGTCAGAGAATATGGTTTCTCAATAAGTTATAAGCCCCAGAAAAGTACATTATTTATATACCACACTTTGAAATATTTTCAGTTTCTAAAATTTGTCAAATAAGATTTTATGTACATTTTTATTTGCTTTGCTAAATATGGATTTAAGGTTAAAAAAAGGCTTAAAACTTTTTTTTTTTTTTAAATAGGATGTTCCCTCTTTTAAGCTATTTTAATTTTTTTTTTTTTTTTTTTTTTTTTTGTGACAGATTTTTGCTCTTGTTACCCAGGCTGGAGTGCAATAGTGCAATCTCAGCTCACCGCAACCTCCACCTCCTGGGTTCAAGCGATTTTCCTGCTTCAGCCTCCTCCTGAGTAGTTGGGATTACAGGCATGTGCCACCACACCCGGCTAATTTTGTATTTTTAGTAGAGACGGGGTTTCTCCATATTGGGCAGGCTGGTCTCAAACTCCCGATCTCACGTGATCCGCCCGCCTCAGCCTCCTGAAGTGCAGGAATTACATGCATGAGTCACCGTGCCCGGCATAGCTATTTTTTTATGCATGGAATTTGTCCTCAGAATTGACTCGAGTTAAATAAAAAGCACAGAGATTCAAAAAAGTAGCATAAAATCATGCCTGTCAAATATATAGTAGATTAAAAAGGAGAAGATAAACATTTGGGAGTGCATGTCTATCTTTTGAGGTGGGTTTAATGGAGGGGACTACTTATATTCTGTTGATATTTCCATTAGCAGCTGCCTCCCTCGTTATTGGAAATAAAATATTGGCCATGTCGGGAGAGCTCTTTTTTTTGTTTTATGGTCTTATAAATTCAACAGGAACTTATTGAGAATGTCTGGGCCTGTCAGATATGTGCCAAGGAGTCTTTTAGGCACTTAATGGGATAATCCAGTGGGAAAAAGGTGTGGCACTGGAAATGGGTCAAGTGTGTTTGGAGAAAGGCCAGTGTGTGACCTGATGGAAGTGGTAGAAAATAAGGTGAGGTGGGTAGGAAGGGCTCTTTGGGAAATAAAATGTAAATTCTTGCTTTAGTCAGTGTTACTGGGAGTGTTTTTGAATTGATGATGGTGTGGATTCCTCTTTTTTTTTTTTTTTTTTTTCTTTTTTGCAATGGAAAGCCTCTTCTTTAGAAGAGTATAATATTCAAGGTCGGTATATGAGTTTTATTTATGAGGCTTATTGCATCAACAATTATATCAACTTAAAATGTTATCAACTTAAAAAGGAGGTAGTTTTAGGCTGGGCGCGGTGGCTCACACCTGTAATCCCAGCACTTTGGGAGGCCAAGGTGGGCGGATCACAAAGTCAGGAGATTGAGACTAAAATGGTGAAACCCTCTCTCTACTAAAAATACAAAAAATTAGCCAGGCATGGTGGTGGCGGGTGCCTGTAGTCCCAGCTACTCAGGAGACTGAGGCAGGAGAATGACATGAATCCGGAAGGTGGAGCTTGCAGTGAGCCAAGATCGTGCCTCTGCACTCCAGTCTGGACGACAGAGTGAGACTCTGTCTCACCAAAAAAAAAAAAAGGTAGTTTTAATAAATGTTTCCCAAGACAAATTATTGTAATTAAATACTATAATACATGCAAAATTTTATAAGAAAAAGGGAGACAGTCTATTAGGGATGAGAACCAAATAACATAATACTGACATGTTATAGATAATTGCATATTTTGGTTTAAAATAACTTTTTAAATTAAAAAATGTAAGTTTTTAGGCTGGGCGCGGTGGCTCGCGCCTGTAATCCCAGCACTTTGGGAGGCCGAGGTGGGCAGATCACAAGGTCAGGAGATCGAGATCATCCTGACTAACACGGTGAAACCCTGTCTCTACTTAAAAAAATACAAAAAATTAGCCGGGCGTGGTGGCAGGTGCCTGTAATCCCAGCTACTAGGGAGGCTGAGGCAGGAGAATTGCTTGAACCCAGGAGGTGGAAGTTTCAGTGAGCCAAGATCGCGCCATTGCACTCCGGCCTGGGTGACAGAGTGAGAAAATAAAATAAAATAAATAAATAAATAAATAAAATTTAAAAAAAGTTTCTTTGACTAGGTATGGTGTCTCATGCCTGTAATCCCAGCACTTTGAGAAGCCAAGGCGGGCAAATTGCTGGATCTCTGGAGTTTGGGACCAGCCTGGGCAACATAGTGAGATCCCTGTCTCTACAAAAAATAAAATTATCTGGGTGTGGTGGCACACGCCTATAGTCGCAGCCACTTGAGAGGCTGAGGTGAGAGGATCACTTGAGCCCAGGAGGTTGAGGAAACATGGGAAACAAAGCAGCTTCTTTGCTGTTCTTTTATTATGAGGTTTAACTGACATTGCCTTTTATTATAAGGTTTCCAGTGAATAATCAAAGTGATGCTTTGGGTAGTCACGTTTAATTTTTCTCAGATTTCTAGTTGTCTAGTATCCATAGGCATTTTTCCAGAACACACCGTATATGTTATTTGTAGTATATTCAAAACTATCTAAGTTGAAAAAAATGAAGAATTGTACAGAGCTTTAAGAACATGTTCTGCTGGGTATGGTGGCTCATACCTGCAACCCCAACAGTTTGGGAGGCCAAGGCGGACAGATCACTTGAGGCCAGGAGTTTGAGACCAGGTTGGGCAACATGGTGAAACCCTGTCTCTACAAAAAAATACAAAAATTAGCCAGGCATGATGGAGGCGCATGTTTGTAGTCCCAGCTACTCAGGAGGCTAAGGTGGGAGGTATGACTGGAACCCAGGAAATGAAAGTTGCAGTGAGCCTAGATTGAGCCACTGGTACTCCTCCAGCCTTGGTGACAGAGCCAGATCCTGTCTCAAAAAAAAAAAAAAAAAAAAGCCCTGTTTTTCAGTCCTCGGTCTCGGGGTCTGTTTCTTCTCATCTCCTTGGACAGCACATAATAGTAGACCAGAAGTCTGAAAAGAGAACACTCGCTTTAATACTTATGCATTGGAAAAACCTGCAAAGTAAATAATAAATTCTGGCTTCTAGTTGGTTACGTTTCTATTTTGGCTTCCGTACTGTATTTGGAACTTGCTGGCTTTGATTTTTCTGATATGACTTTTTATTTAACCCCTCCTGGCTTTTATGCAGGTTTATTAACTGGTGTAGTGGTAGACTCTGGAGATGGTGTGACTCACATTTGCCCAGTATATGAAGGCTTTTCTCTCCCTCATCTTACCAGGAGACTGGATATTGCTGGCAGGGATATAACTAGATATCTTATCAAGGTAAGTGAAAGGAAAATATCATGGAAATTAAATTTTGTAATGTGTTTACCATCTTAACACAGAATTGAATATATCATTTTAGGATTCCAGTAAATCTGTACCACTAGAGAAATTACCCAATTATCTCCCTTATTTATATAAAAATCCATATAAGTTTTATACACATGAAGAAAAAAAGATACATAAAAACAAGAAAAAAAGATGTACAAACATGATCTCTGTATACTAATGAGAGTACATTATATCATTACCTAATTATATTTGTTATTCCTGAGGAATGAGTAGACAGATATTTCAAGGATGGAAGAGATCCGTATCTTGAAACTTTCTTGGTCAGCTCAGGCAGCCTTTTCTGCCATAAAACCTTTCTTTGAGCAGATATGTTTTAAGCCATATTCTTGATTGGGTTGCCTACACTTGTCCTTTCCCACAAAATACAGTGATAGCAAATTAATGATATTTGAGAAAAACAGCCCAAATACACCAGACTTTAATGTTTAGTAGTTTTCATGGAATATATCCAGTTTTTAATATTTACTATTTTAGTTTACTTGTGAATATAACTAGTTATAATTTTCTTTAAAACATTGCTGGAGAAGGTACATAAGGCGTCTACTTGCTAACATATATCATTTTGAATATTAAAATAAAATTTAGAAAATTGTTTATACCAGAATTCTGTAATTAGTCTATCCTCTCCAGGACAGTGGTTCTCACCAGGCAACAGTGCTGTCCCCTGGGGGATATTAGCAATTTCTGGATGCATTTTTGGTTGTCTGAGCTGGGCAGGAATGCTGCTGAACATTCTATAATGAATAGGGCTGGCTGCACCACAAACAGTGTATAGTCTGTCAGTGGTGCTACTGTTAAGAAACCCTGTCTCTGCATTAAATTGGGTTGCACTGTCTTTACCTTGACATTGGGTTCCTTCAGTGTCATTTAAAGTAATCCTCCTCATGAGGGGAGATTAAATTAATGAGAATTATAATACTCTTATTTTAGGCCAAAATTCAAAGGGTAACCAACAGAATTTCTGGGGTTGTCTTTAGAACACAGACTCAAATATTAGAGGATATATTTTTTTATTTGTAAAGTCTAGTAATGTTTTTTCTCTCAGTGGGTTTTTTAAAAAAATAGTAATATTTTCTAGCATTTAAGAAACATAACAATAGAGATTATACCTTTGAGTACCCCAATAATTCCCTTATCATTTGTTAAACAAATGTTATTGGCCTTCTAATATATGCCAGACGCAGTACTAGAAGCTAAAGATAAAACTTTTAAAGACTTGGGGGCATTTCATAAATATGGCATTAATTGTATGAGCAAACTGCAGGCTACAGGAGTCCAGCACTAAAATAGTATTTATTAATATACTTTTTATTGTTTATCAAAACATCAGTACTCATGTAGAGCTTTTCAAAAACTGACTTTTCTGGTCATTTTACTGACGTATTTATGAATTGTTAATTATTTTACCCTCTCTAAATCCTTTTATGGGGGGTAAACTCCTACTTCTGAAATAGTAGGAGCTGAGAATCCATTGCCCATTCTGTTATTGATGTGACATATTTAATGAGCATTAATAGCTTTTGCCGAGTAGAACTCATTCAGATCTATTATGAACTTATTGCTATTGTTTTGTACCAGCTGCTTCTGTTGCGAGGATACGCCTTCAACCACTCTGCTGATTTTGAAACGGTTCGCATGATTAAAGAAAAACTGTGTTACGTGGGATATAATATTGAGCAAGAGCAGAAACTGGCCTTAGAAACCACAGTACTAGTTGAATCTTATACAGTAAGTGTTTCCAGTGTGTAATATATATATATATGTTTTAAAGTGGGCAGCCATGGTTATTGGTGTCAGCTTAAGGAGGTTTTCTTAAGAGTCAGTATTTTTGTCTTGGGTTGTTGCAATATGTATATGTGTGACTTTTAATATCTCTTTCTACATTAAGATGCTATTTAATTATTTTAGGGCACCATATAATGCAAATTAAGGCAAGAATCATAAATTACTCTCTACACTAGGATATAATTAGATGCAAGATGTTATTTTGAGATTCTAGTATTTGGCATAGCATTTCTCAACATATGTTTCACAGAACTTTATTTCCCTGAGATGTTAATAAGCATTTCACAAAAATTAAAAAGAATTACATTGTCAAATAAGTTTGGGAAATCACTGTAGAACTCAAGAGCCTTTGGTATGCTAATATATACACAATTAATATAGTATGCGTGTTTCTCAGACTTACACTCTAGGACTTTTCAGAATTTCATGGGATTAGTGGTCTAAGAAACGTACTTTGGAAATAGTCATTCTGGGGCATTGCTTTACTAATTCAGTAGGTGGCAGCCTTTCCTGACTTAATATTTTTTAATGAGGTGTTAAATGTTAACTTGAAATTGTAACTAATGAGATTTAGGACCTAGTTATAGTTTATAATACCAGAGGAGTTGACTAGTTATTACTAAAATGAAACAGTAATAGGCAATAAAGGCAAGTATTTTAAAACCATATGATGCATACTAGCTCTACATATTCACAAATATGTGCAAAATAGTCATTTTAAAAATAATTATAAAAAATTTGTTGTTGGCTGGGTGCAGTGGCTCATGCCTGTAAATCCCAGCACTTTGGGAGGCCGAGGAGGGTGGATCACCTGAGGTCAGGAGTTGGAGACCAGCCTGGCCAACATGGCGTAAACCCCATCTACTAAAAATGCAAAAAATTAGCTGAGCAAGGTAGTGGGCACCTGTAATCTCAGCTACTCAGCAGGCTGAGGCAGAATTGCTTCAACCCAGGAGGCGGAGGTTGCAGTGAGCTGAGATCATGCCACTGCACTCCAACCTGGGTGACAGAGCAAGACTCCATGTTGGGAAAAAAAAAAAATGAGTTGTTAAGATAGTGACCCAAATATTCAGTAAACCCATTTTAAATTTTTTTTAAATTTATTTTTTATTACACTTTAAGTTCTGAGACACATGTGCAGAAAATGCAAGTTTGTTACATAGGTATACATGTGCTATGGTGGTTTGCTGCACCCATCAACCCGTCATCTGCATTAGATATTTCTCCTAATGCTATCCCTCCCCTTGCCCCCCAACCCACGACAGGCCCCATGTGTGATGTTCCCCTTCCAGTGCCCATATGTTCTTATTGTTCAACTCCCACTTATGAGTGAGAACATTTGGTGTTTGGTTTTCTGTTCCTGTGTTAATTTGCTGAGAATGATGGTTTCCAGCTTCACCTATGTCCCTGTAAAGGACATGAACTCATTCTTTTTTTATGGCTGCATGGTATTCCATGGTGTATATGTGCCACGTTTTCTTTATCCACTGTAACATTGATGGGCATTTGGGTTGGTTCCAAGTCTTTACTGTTGTGAATGGTGCTGCAATAAACATATGTATGCATGTGTCTTTATAGTAGCATGATTTATAATCCTTTGGGTATATAACCAGTAATGGGATCGCTGGGTCAAATGGTATTTCTAGTTCTGGATTCTTGAGGAATCACCACACTGTCTTCCACAGTGGTTGAACTAATTTACACTCCCACCAACAGTGTAAAAGCGTTCCTATTTCTCTACATCCTCTCTGGCATCTGTTGTTCCCTGACTTTTTAAGGATCACCATTCTAACTGGCATGAGATTTTGTGGTTTTGATTTATATTTCTCTAATGACTGGTGATGACTAGATTTTTTTCATGTTTATTGGCCACATAAATGTCTTCTTTTGAAAAGTATCTGTTCATATCCTTTGCCCACTTTTTGATGGGGTTATTTGTCTTTTTCTTATAAATTTGTTTAAGTTCCTTGTAAGGACCGGGCGCCGTGGCTCAAGCCTGTAATCCCAGCACTTTGGGAGGCCGAGACGGGCGGATCACGAGGTCAGGAGATGGAGACCATCCTAGCTAACTCGGTGAAACCCCGTCTCTACCAAAAAATACAAAAAACTAGCCGGGCGAGGTGGCAGGCGCCTGTAGTCCCAGCTACTCGGGAGGCTGAGGCAGGAGAATGGCGTAAACCCGGGAGGCGGAGCTTGCAGTGAGCTGAGATCCGGCCACTGCACTCCAGCCTGGGCGACAAAGCAAGACTCCGTCTCAAAAAAAAAAAAAAAAAAAGTTCCTTGTAGATTCTGGATATTAACCCTTTGTCAGATGGATAGACTGCAAAAAATTTTCCCATTCTGTAGGTTGCCTGTTCACTCTGATGATAGTTTCTTTTGCTGTGCAAGAAGCTCTTTAGTTTAATTAGATCCCATTTGTCTATTTTGGCTTTTGTTGCAATTGCTTTTGGTGTTTTAGTCATGAAGTCTTTGCCCATGCCTGTGTCCTGAATGGTATTGTCTAGGTTTTCTGCTAGGAGTAAACCCATTTTGTAACTTAATCATCTCCAGATTTGCTCTGGAGATTCCTTCCTGAAGTCTTCTTGATAGTTTCTCTAGTTGTCTAATTTTCCATCTACCTGATTAGTTTGGAAGAAAGTGGCTGGCACAGGGCAAAAGATAAGCAAACTAGAAATGTAAAACGTGTTTTATTTCTTCCTTCTCTCTTTTCTCAAAGCATTTGAGGTAGACTACAAAAATATATACAAGTAGGCTGGGTGTAGTGGCTCACACCTGTAATCCCAGCATTTTGGGAGGCTGAGATAGGAGGATCACTTGAGGCCAGGAGTTCATGACCAGCCTGGGCAATATAACAAGAAGACCCTGTCTCTACAAAAAATGCAAAAATTTGCCAGGCGTAGTGGCACATGCATGTAGTCCTAGCTAGTTGAGAGGCTGAGGTGGGAAGATTGCTTGAGCCCAGGAGTTCAAGGCTGAAGTTTTGAGGCAGAGCTAGGATTGCACCACTGCACTCCTGCCTGGGTGAAGGAGCGAGACCCTGTCTCAAAAAAACAAAGCAAAAACCCATATATATATTTACATATATATATATTTGATATATACACACACACGTATACACAAGTATAAAGTAATAAGCTGGTGAGTAAGTATAGGGAGGCATGAGTGGACAAATACAGAACAGGGTAAGATTTGGTGCAAAGAAATGGGATGCCTACAGTTTAACAGTTCATTAAGGTGGTTAGAAAACTTGACCCCATGTTGGCCAGCAGCCACAGCATGGAAAGAAGCCACACTATCAGGCTTCGAGTGCTTAAGGAAGGAGGTTTTTGCTAGTAAGATCTGCTGTGCGAAGGTTTTCCAAATATTTTGGATGATTTCATGTGAACCCACCTGACGGAGGTGGCTTTTTTAAGGTTATAAGTTTTGGTAACCTTTTTTTTCTTTCTCTTTTGAGATAGGGTTTCCTCACTCTGTTGCCCAGGCTACAGTGCAGTGGCATGATCTCGGCTCACTTCAGTCTCAATCTCCCAGAGTTAGGTGATCCTCCCACCTTAGCCTCCTAGGTAGCTGGGACCAGAATCAGTCAGTTTTGGAATCTAAACAATCATTGTAATTGGCCAGGCGTGGTGGCTCATCCCTGTAATCCCAGTACTTTGGGAGGCCGAGATGGGAGGATCATTCGAGCCCAGGAGTTCAAAAACAGCCTAAGTAACAAAGCAAGACCCCATCTCTACAAAAAATAAACAAAATGAGCCAGACATAGTAGTGTGCACCTGTAGTGCCAGCTACTTGGGAGGCTGAGGTGGGAAGATCACTTGAATCTGGGAGATTGAGGCTGCAGTGAGCCATGATCACACCACTGCCATCTAGCCTGGACAACAGAGCAAGACCCTATCTCAAAATATATATATATATATATATAGTAGGGCCAGGCATGGTGGCTCATGCCTGTAATCCCAGCACTTTTGGAAGGCCAAACTGGGCAGATCACTTGAGGCCAGGAGCTCGAGATCAGCCTGGCCAACATGCAGAAACTGTCTCTACTAAAAATACAAAAACTAGCCAGGCGTGGTGGCACATGCCTGCAATCTCAGCTACTTGGGTGGCTGAGGTATAAGAATCATTTGAACCCGGTAGGCAGAAGTTGCACTGAGCCAAGATCAAGCCACTGCACTCCAGTCTGGGTGACAGAGCGAGACTCTGTCTCAAAAAAAAAAAAAGTAATTATATTATAAATGTACTGTTAGACTTGTTAATGTAAAATTAATTCTAGTATCTTGTATAGAAATGTGTCACATGCCAGCATACATGGGCATGCTTATTACTTAGGACAATCCAGTGAATTGTGAGGTGTTATGAGAGGAAGTTTCTACTTAACATTTCTCATTTAATTAAATATGAACATGATGTGTGACTGACAAGGTATTTTTGTACAAAGTCATAATATGATACCTGATTTGTTTAAATCTTATTTGCTTAAATTGAAATTATATTTATCAGTTATTTAAAATTTATTAGGACCTAGTAGGATACAACAGAATTGCCTAATAAAAATAGTCTAGATCAGTGTTCTGTAAACTTCTTTGATCATAAAACATATTTTGGATTAAATGATTTGATAGAAGTGGCACACATGTTATAAAGTATTTTGATGGCAAAATAATAGTTTCACAGAGTAATTATTTGGTGAAATAAAATTATTTAAAATGTTTGATGTAGCTGGGTGCAGTGGTTGATGCCTGTAATCCCAACACCTTGGGAGGCCAAGGCGGGCAGATCACCTGAGGCCAGGAGTTCAATACCTGGTCAACATGATGGAACCCCGTCTTTACTAAAAATATAAAAATATGCTGGCGTGGTGGCACATGCCTGTAATCCCAGCAACTCAGGAGGCTGAGGCAGGAGAATTGCTTGAACCTAGGAGACAGAGGTTGGAGTGAGCCGAGATTGTGCCATTGTGCTCCAGCCTGGGTGACAAGAGCGAAACTCCATCACAGTCAGTCAGTCAGTGTTTAACATGTCTATTCTACATAGCAGAAATATCCATAAAATCACAAATATGTTAAAATTACAAAACTGCAGTAACACATAGCAGCAGTAATCAAAATATAGTGGTTGGTCAGTGATGGCTGTTTCAGCTTTGCTGCAAATGTCATGCACTCATGCATCAGTGATTTCTCCAAGAAATTCCTCATATTTGGGGGCATGGCATATCACTTTTAAAAGCAAAACAGAATGTGATGATAAGAACAGTTACCTGAATCTATTTAATTTACCTTTTTTCCCCCAAAATATTTTTTAGGAAAAGTTATTGTTGGTAATGATTTTGGTTACAGAACAGATGTATTTGTAAGTACTAGTGTTCTGGAGAACACTGGGAAATTTTAATCTTTTCTGATTAGTACCTGATTATTCTTGGTTTCTAGCTCCCAGATGGACGTATCATCAAAGTTGGGGGAGAGAGATTTGAAGCACCAGAAGCTTTATTTCAGCCTCACTTGATCAATGTTGAAGGAGTTGGTGTTGCTGAATTGCTTTTTAACACAATTCAGGCGGCTGACATTGATACCAGGTATATTAGAAATGGTGATTTCAAAGTTATTTATCAGAAAAATAATAAAAAAAATTTTAAAGTTATTTATCAGAAATAGGTGGAATTAAATAGAATGACTAAGTTGTTTATAAACTTACTTGAAATAATTTCAGACTTATGGAAAAGTTGCAAGAAAATGCAGAAATCTTATCTATATCCTTTATATTTACCATTTTACTAATTATAATGTTCTGCATGTTTGTTTTTTCATTCTGTTTTTTTTCTGAACCGTTTGAGAGTAGATAAAATGCATCAATTCTTTACCAGTTGGTGTTTCCTAAGGATAAAGATACTCTCTTACATAGTCATACTGATTTCAGATCCTTTGGAGATATACCCAGTAGTGGAATTGCTGTATCATATGGTAGTTCTATTTTTAACTTTTTGAGGAACCTCCATACTGTTTTCTGTAATAGCTATACTAATTCACACTCCCACCAGCAGTGTACAAGGGTTTCCTTTTCTCCACATCCTCGCCAGTATTTGTTACCTTTTCTCTTTTTTGGTAATAGCCATTCTAACAGCTGTGAAGTGATATATCTCATTGGGGTTTAATTTGCATTTACTTCCCTGATGATTAGGGATGCTTAGCATTTTTTCCATTTGTATTGTTTTGAGAAATGTTTATTCAGGTCATTTGCCCGTTTATTAATTGGGTTATTTGTTTTCTTGCTATTGTGTCATTTGAGATTTGAGTTTCTTATATATTTGGGATATTAACTCCTTATCAGATGTCTGGTTTGCAAGTATATTCTCACATTCTATAGGTTGTATCTTCACTTTGTTGATTAATTCCTTTGCTGTGCAGAAACTTCTTTTGTTGTTGTTATTGGTTTGTTTTTTGTTTTTTTTTTTGAGATGGAATGTCACTCTCTCACCCAGGCTGGAGTGTAGTGGTGCAATCTTGGCTCACTGCAACCTCTGCCTCCTGTTTTCAAGTGATTCTCGTGCCTCAGCCTCCCAAGTAGCTGGGATTACAGGCATACACCACCATGCCCAGCTTTTTTTTTTTTTTGTATTTTTTAGTAGAGATGGGGTTTTGCCATATTGACCAGGCTGGTCTCGAACTCCTGGCCTCAAGTGATCCACCCCCCCGCCCCAGCCTACCAAAGTGCTGAGAGAAACTTCTTAGTTTGATGTAAATGCATGTATTTTTGTTAGATATTGCCAAATTTCCCTCTCTGGCAGTTGTATCATTTATCCTTTCCACCAGTCTGATGAGTGAGACATTATTTCAGTGTAATTTTACTTTTTATTTCTCTTATTAAGAGTGAAGTCAAGCCAGGTGTGGTGGCTTCTGGCTGTAATTGCAGCACTTTGGGAGGCTGAGCAGGAGGTGTGCTTAAGCCCAGGAGTTTAAGACCAGCCTGGGCAACATATGGACATCCTGTCTTTACATAAATTTTTTTCAAAAAGATTAGCCAGGTATGGTGGTGGTGTACTCCTGTAGTCCTAGCTACTCAGAAGGCTGAAGTGGGAGGATCGCTTGAGCCTGAGAGGTAGAGGCTGCAGTGAGCCACGATTGTGCCACTGCACTGCAGCCTGGGTGACAGAGACCCTATCTCTCCCCACCGCCACAAAAAAAAGTTACTATAAAAATTATATATATATATATAAAAAAAAACATATTTTTATATATTTAAGGGACCTTTTTTTTTTTTAATAGAGTCTTGCTCTGTCGCCAGGCTGGAGTGCAGTGGTGCAATCTCGGCTCACTGCAACCTCTACCTCCTGGGTTAAAGCGATTCTCTTGCCTCAGCCTCCCAAGTAGCTGGGACTACAGGTGCGTGCCACCACGCCCAGCTAATTTTTGTATTTTTAGTAGAGATGGGGTTTCACCATGTTGGCCAGGATGGTCTCTGATCTCTTGACCTCGTGATCCGTCCGCCTCGGCCTCCCAAAGTGCTGGGATTACAGGCGTGAGCCACCGCGCCCAGCCTTAAGGGACATTTTTGATTTTTTTTTTTTTTTTTGGCAAATCGTTCGTGGCTTTTTTTGTCTGTAGATTTTGGAGTTTTGGGTTTTTTGTTTTTGTTTTTTTTTTCCAGTTTTGAAAAGTTTTCTTTTAGCTTTCTGATGTCTTTTACAGATATTTCCTCTGTTTGACGTTTGTCTATTGCTCTTAGTGTTTTGGCCATGCAAAAGTTTGTTTTTATTTAGTCATATAAGAAGATTTATAGTCATATTTTATTACAGCTAGAGCTGAGTCATCGTTAGAAATCCCTTCTCTACACTCAGGTTATAGAGGAATTCACCCAGAAGCATTTTGTACAGCAAGCATTTATTTGTTTGTGTAACCCTGAAGCCACATAATTAATTTTGATGGGATGGCTTTGGAGCCAGGATAGTAATAGAAATTAATAAAAATAGCAGTTGACTTATAACAAGCTATAAACCTTGTGGAAGATGATCAGAAATCGAATCTAGCCTTCATAATTGTGGTAAATTCTCATGATAGGGATTAGATTATTTTGTCCTTTGATTTGATGTTCATTCACAGCAAAATTGTATTTAAAAGTATATGCTGGCCAGGCGCGGTGGCTCACGCCTGTAATCCCAGCACTTTGGGAGGCTGAGGCGGGCGAATCACGAGGTCAGTAGTTCGAGACCATCCTGGCCAACATGGTGAAACCTGTCTCTACTAAAAATACAAGAAATTAGCTGGGTGTAGCGGCAGGCATCTGTAATCCCAGCTACTCGGGAGGCTGAGGCAGGAGAATCGTTTGAACCCAGGAGGCGGAGGTTGCAGTGAGCCGAGATTACGCCACTGCTCTGCAACCTGGGCGACAAAGTGAGACTCTGTATATTTAAAAAACAAAACAAAACAAAAAAAGTACATGCCTGTTGTTGCTGATTAGGGCTTCGACGTTCCCAAAGCGTGGAGTCAGATTCAGTACCTTCTCCACAGTTGGCATTGCAAAGTGGAACAACTCAAATTTTGTTTTGTGTGTTCTGCATGTTGAAAATGTACATGCAAATGCTTATGTGTACTTACCACGTGAATCTGTATTTCAACTGCTTAGTTTATGCAACATTCACTGGGCTTGCTTTGGCAATTAAATACAAAAACAATGCTTTGTTGGAATTGCAGTAGCTTTAGCCATTGAGAACCTGGAAGCCAGGTTGAATAAGGCCAGAATGGGTGCAAATCAGCTCCCAAACTTTGTATTATTCCTCAGACCCTCACTCAGATTCTGTTACTTTTACTACATATGCAAGTCTTTTTAGATTGGATTATCTGATATCATAGACAACAGCATATTTAAGGAAAAAAGAGGGTACTGCTATAAGGAGCATACACATCAGTCTAGCCAAAAATAACAGCAGACAGCCTTTAAGCAAAGGAACAAAAAAGAGAAAACTACAAAAGATAAATAAAAAATTAAAAAGCAGGAATTCTGGATTAAAGTAGAATAGGGCTAATTATAGTAAATTACCACATTTCAGTGGCTTTAGGGAAGCATGTGACAACATAGTCCAAGTACTAGAAGTTTGTAATGTAAATCTTGGTCATTATTAGAAGTCTCAGTTACATTCACAAAAAAAAATGTATTATATACTTTTAGAAGTATTTTATTTTCATCAAAATTATAAAAAGATTTTATATGTAAAGAGGGGTCATTACTTCACAATAGTAATAACAGCAAATATTCAGCCCTGTGATTTACATGTTGAATTTTATTTAATTCTCCCAGCAACCCCATGAGGCTGACATAAGTAACAGTAACCCTGAGATACCATTTCCCTAACCTAAAACTCCAAATAAATAACCATTGTGTCTTTCTAGATCTGAATTCTACAAACACATTGTGCTTTCTGGAGGGTCTACTATGTATCCTGGCCTGCCATCACGGTTGGAACGAGAACTTAAACAGCTTTACTTAGAACGAGTTTTGAAGGGTGATGTGGAAAAACTTTCTGTAAGTATTAGTAAATCAACTATTATTAACATTCTTTTAAAAGACTGTACAGTAGTTTGTGAATCTTGACAACCACCAGAGGGGGCAAGACGTCTTCCAAAACAAATTCCTACTGCAGTCAAGTGCAGCCTGGAAATGATAGGAAGAGGGAAATAGTTCAAGATAAGCTCTGGTCACCTCTATAGTCAATGGACGGAGGCAGTGAGGGCAAGGCCAAAAGTTCTGGTTCATCTGTAACAACCAGCACAGACTCTGAGGCGCCTCTATGTGCAAAAGAAGAACCTGCTGTACTATGGGAGAATAAATGCCCCACTTGAGTTTTGTTCTTTTTTTTTGTTTTGTTTTTAAACTTATTTTGGATATGCAATCAGCCTTTAGCACTTCTCTTGGGCTGTCTCATATTTCTGACTTTGTTTGTTACATATGTTGTCTTCTCTCCTCCGTCAGATTGTAAAACATCATGCTTCAAATTTTTTTGCATCCTGGTAACTGTCATAGCTCTTGAAACAGACTTTAATTGGTAGTTGTTGGTATGTGCAGTAGGAAGAAAATTTTTAACTAGTAATAGTTGATGTTTCTTTGGCATGGGTTTGTGTGTTTTTTCCACCAAACTCTGGACTATGTGAAGTATACAGCATGTGCTGTATACTCAACCGAGAGTTATCTAATCCTCAGTTAATCTCTGAGCTTTGTCTCACTGACTTTGATCAACTATTTTAGATAATGAGATTATGTATTAGAGTACTGTATGTTACATCTTTCATATATGACTCAAATTGTTGAAATTAAATTGAGTATGGGCTCACATACATTAAACAGATTAACAGACTCGAAAGGAGCCATGCTGTCTAAATACTTCACTCATTTTTCTGATTTTATTGAGTTTTAGATATAATTTATAATTGATCTCAGGTGATCATTTATTCAGCAAACATTTCTGGAACTCCTGGGTGTCAGACATAGGTCTAGGTGCTGGGGACAAACAAAACAATGAAAACAGAATCCCTACTTTTAGTCTAAATAATGTGTTAGTGGTAATAAGTGATATGAAGAAAAGTAAGGTGAAGAGCTGGAAACTGTTAGTGGTTGGAGAGGTTGTGTGCTCCTTCATAAACTGTGATCAGGAAAGGCCTTCTGGGTGAAGTGACTTTTGATCAGAGACCTAAGTTGAGCGTGAGAGGAGTGAGCCATGCAGCTGTCTAGGGGAAGAATCTTACAGGCAGGAACAATGCAAAAGCCCCAGGTTGGTGGGAATGTGCCAGTGTGGCTGGAGCAGAGTGAGCAAGGGAGGAGGACAGGTGGGATATGAGGTCAGAAGGGTAGCAGGAGGGCAGGTCTTGTTAAGCCGTGGTAAAGGGTTTGGCTTGACTCCTGGTGAAATGGAAAGTCTTGGGTGCCAGGGTGGTTTAACCAGAGAAATGATAGAATCTGATGTATATTTTTAAGGGATCATTAAGTCTGGTGTGTTGAATAGACTCTTGGGGGAAGAGGGAACAAAGGTGGGCATAGACCAGTTAGGAGGCACTGAGAGGAGGGAAGGGATGGTAGAGTTTTAGACTAGAGGAGAAGGTTGCAATGGTTGTTTTGGAAAATGGAAGAGAGAATAGAGAAATGTAATAGGATTACCATGCAGCAGCAAGCTCAGTTGAGGTTGGTGATACATTGAAGCAAGATGTTTTGTATCTTTCCTATCTTGTTCAGCTGCTTGAGAGCAGGTGCATGAGTTCAGCAAGGAGGGAGTGGTAGATGGAATAATCTGATAGAATGAGTTTCATTGGAGCTGTGGAATTTTAGGGATGAGCAAGATAGAAAGCAGCAATGGAGAGCAAGAACTCATTATTACCAAACCTCCAGGGTTAAGGTAGTGTGTGAGAGAGAAACTGTAAGCAGTTGAGATATTTACAGAAGCAGCGTCTTCAGGGGCTAAGTTTCCCTTAGAGCAGAGGTGGGCATTTATAGCCCTTATGCCAAAACTGTTTTGTTTTTTTTTGTTTTGTTTTAAGTTTTATTGGAACACAGCCAAGCCCATTTGTTTACATAATGTTACCTGTTGTCACTTACTGTCTGTGGGCACCTTCTAGCTACATGTGGGGTTGGGTACTTGTCACGCCTGCAAAGCCTCAAGTATCTGGCCCTTTCCAAAAAAATTTGCTGACCCCCACCTAAGAGCAAGAAAGCTAAAGGAACAATTAAAATAGTCTCAGAATTGGTAAATAAACTGATGTTTTTCTTTATCTTGGAAACCCTTACAGTTCTCAGAACCCTTACAGTTCATTTATGTGACATAAATATACAAATGATTTGGAATGACATAGTTACATTGGGTGTTTTTTGCAGGATTGTGACACTGTAAATGAAAAACTTGCTATGTCATTTTAAGATCTCTTTCAGTGTTGACCAACCATAAAGATAAGGAGGGTGTGTCCTTCCTAGATACTTAATAGTAACTACAGAGTATAAAACTTTTCCTAGTTGTCTTTAATTTTGGTTACTGTGTTCATTTTCTCATAACATCCCCATGATTTGTTTTGACCATATTTGGCCTTGTTTATTTTAAGAACATTTCATTTGATTTTGAGACAATAGAAAGTAAGCTTTGCTTAAAAGAAAAGAACTTCAGTTTTACTCAGTTGCACTGGACTAGAATCATAACAGTATTAGACCTTTAAGAAGTCATGCAAGTCCTCTTATCCAGACTTCGTTTGATAGCAAAGTGACTTTCCCAAGTGGTCATCTGCCAGGGGATGGGAAATTTGCACTAATTATATCTCTGATGTTTGGTCTCTCAGTAGGGTGTTAAGTCATGTAATTTACTGATCAAATTAGGACACTCAAGAATGAAAAGGGGTGGTGTTAATAATGATGGGACACCACGTGTAAATCAGGACTGTTCCAAGCATGCTGGGATAGATGTGTGGTCTCCTAAACATGAGCTTTGGGCAAATTACTAAGTGTTCCTGTACCTCAGGTACCAAATCCTACCGTTCTACTTATATCACAGGACTGTTGCAAGGTTGAGCGAGAGCATATATTTAAAAGTCATTTTCATAAAGCAGAAAGCACTGTGCACATGTACCATTTTATTCTCCTTTCTTTCTCCTTTAGAAATTTAAGATCCGCATTGAAGACCCACCCCGCAGAAAGCACATGGTATTCCTGGGTGGTGCAGTTCTAGCGGATATCATGAAAGACAAAGACAACTTTTGGATGACCCGACAAGAGTACCAAGAAAAGGGTGTCCGTGTGCTGGAGAAACTTGGTGTGACTGTTCGATAAACTCCAAAGCTTGTTCCCATCACACCCGTAATGCTTTCTTTTTTCCTTTATTGCCAATCTTTGAACTCATTCAACTCCAGGACATGGAAGAGGCCTCTCTCTGCCCTTTGACTGGAAAGGTCAAGTTTTATTCTGGTGTCTTGGGGAAGCTTTGTTAAATTTTTGTTAATGTAGGTAAATCTGAGTTTAATTCAACTGCTTCCCTACGTAGACTAGAGGGCTCAGGATCCTGTCTGCTGCTTTGTTTCTTCTAAGTAGGCATTTAGATCATTCCTGTAGGCTTCCTGTTTTCACTTTACTGCTCTAATGCTGCTAGTCGTAGTCTTTAGCACACTAGGTGGTATGCCTTTATTAGCATAAGAAAAAAACTTCAGGAGCTTTTACATATTACTGGGATGGGGGGTGGTTCGGGATGGGTGGGCAGCTGCTGAACCCTTTAGGGCATTTCCTCTGTAATGTGGCGCTTTCAGCTGTACTGCTGCAGCTTTAAGTACCTTAAAGCTTCTCCTGTGAACATCTTAGGGAAATGTTAGGTTCAGAACTAAAGTGTTTTGGGTGGGTTTTGTTGGGGGGGAGGGGTAACAGTGGGTGGTCTTCTGATTTTTATTTTTGAGGTTTTCTCGCTGGAGTACATAGAGGAACTTTATTTACAGTACTTTGATTTGGCAGGTTTTCTTCTACTTGTGCTCTGCCTGGAGCTGTTTCCATATGATATAAAAAGCAAGTGTAGTATTCCATTACTATGTGGCTTAGGGATTTATTTATTTTTAAAAATCAACCATGTTAGCTGGGACTAGACTCCCTACAGTCCTTCAATGGAAAAGTAACATTTAAAAATCCTTTTGGTAATTCAAATTACAGATTTAAAAGTGCTTAAGATCTGGTGTTTTGTTAATGCTTCTGTTTATTCCAGAAGCATTAAAGTAACCCATTGCCAAGTATCATTCTTGCAAATTATTCTTTTATGTAACTGACCAGTGCTTAATAAAACAAGCAGGTTATATTAATTACTGGCAGTAGGTTATAATTGGTGGTTTAAAAATAACATTGAAATACGGGACTTGTTGCCAATTGGGTAATTTTCATTAGTTGTTTTGTTTGTTTTGATTTGGAACCTGGAAGTACAGTAAAATTTGACTGTTTAAAATGTTAGCCAAAAAAAAAACCAAGATTTAAATTTTTTATTTGCACTGAAAAACTAATCATAACTGTTAATTCTCAGCCATCTTTGAAGCTTGAAAGAAGAGTCTTTGGTATTTTGTAAACGTTAGCAGACTTTCCTGCCAGTGTCAGAAAATCCTATTTATGAATCCTGTTGGTATTCCTTGGTATCTGAAAAAAATATCAAATAGTACCCATACATGAGTTCTAAGTTTGAAAAATAAAAAGAAATTGCATCACACTAATTACAAAATACAAGTTCTAGAAAAAAATATTTTTCTTCAGTTTAAAACGTTTTAACTAATAATGGCTTTGAAAGAAGAGGCTTAATTTAGAGGTGACTAAAATCAAAAGAAATTATTGACTTGAGGGTCTCTGTTTTGTAAGAATACATAATTAGCTTAAATAAGCAGCAAAAGGTTAGTTTTAATTATGTAGCTTCTGTTAATATTAAGTGTTTTTTGTCTGTTTTACCTCAATTTGAACAGATAAGTTTGCTTGCATGCTGGACATGCCTCAGAACACATGAATAGCCCGTACCAGATCTTGGGAACATGGATCTTAGAGCCACTTTGGAATAAGTTCTTATATAAATACCCCCAGCCTTTTGAGAATGGGGCTTGTTAAAGGACGCGTATGTAGGGCCAGTACCTACTGGCAGTTGGGTTCAGGAAAATAGGATTGACTTGGCCTTGGGTCCCTTGGTCCATTATAAAATCTGGGAGTAGAAAACAACAAAAAATGGAATGGACTCTTAAAATAATGAAAGAGCATTGATCATTTGTCCCTTGAATGTAGAATTTGTTTTTGATTTCAGAATTCTGCTGGTAAACATGTCAGTTAAAATGGTATATTATGTGTATGTATTATAATTTAGAAATCCCATTTTATAATGTTACTATTCCAAGGTGACATAATACATTTACATTTGGGATTTGGGTGGACTATTATATTTAACTGGAGTTGTTGGCAAGTGTGAATCCCTCAGGAAAAAAAAAATCTGTTTTAAAAAGCAATCTGATTCTTGGCTCTTGAAACTATTGTTACTTAAATCTCCAATAATTAAAAATTTAAAATTTTTAAATCAGAATCATCAATACTTTGACCTTTGAGAAGGATTTCTTAGAAATACATTTAGTAATGTTCCCAAGACGTCAGTCTTACATTTAAACTTTTTTCTTTAAAACATAGTATTGGTTGTTAACTTTTACACAGTTCTGAGTACTGTTAATATCTGGAAAGTATCTTGAGATATCAGTGGAAAGCTGAACAGTCTAAATTTAACATGAAATACTTCTTTTTGATTCAGAAAATAAAATCAGATTTTTTCAAAGTCAGTTTGAATTTTGTCATTTCTTTCTAATAGTTTTTTCTCGTTTCATTTTCTTTTATTCGTATTTTTATTTTTGTTAATGCAAGATGAATTGACAGCTTTATGCTCGTTGTTAGGTCAAGTTCATGTCAGTGTTCTATTATTGACAAAACAACTCATTATTTCTGTTATGATTTTATAAATAAGAAAATAGAAGAGCGATTTATAGCTACATCAGAGACTGTTTTCTTCCAACAGACCGTTTTGTCTCCCAAAAGATGTAAGGTGGCTTTCACAGAATTAGAAATGCTAAAAAGACCGAGGTGTCACATGCCCCCTGTCAAGGACATATTAACTCACCTGCAGACTTTTAGGCATATTTAACAAAATAAAAGAAGGATGAAAATACGTTTAACTGACTTTTTCTTGTTTTATACTATCCTTGAGGATGACGGCTGGAGATGAGAGAGTATTTTTGCCTTTCCTTCTTCACGGACTCGTATGTGCAAACCTCATTGCCCGCTTCAGGGCCAGAGTCCTTCCAGACATTGCAAGGTTGTCTCTGGTGTTTCATCAAGTTTCTTCTGAGTTGCAGAAGAAGAATGTGATGCTATCTCTATATGTAATGGAGGAAGAAAATACCAGGCACTGCATAGTGCCCTTGATGGAATGAATGTCTCTCAATGCCCTTCATTTTTTTCTTCCACCCACAAACTTTGACCATTATACAATTGAGTTTATTAACTGTATTTAGAACCATCAAAGAGGGTAGCCAACTAAAGTGAAGCAGAAACTCGAGGATTGATCTAAACTTAATTTTTTTTTTTTTTTTTTTTTTTGGAGATGGAGTTTCACTCTTGTTGCCTGGTTAGAGTTCAGTGGTGCGATCTCGGCTTACCACAGTGGCACAATCTCGGCTCACCGCAGCCTCCGCCTCCCAGGTTCAAGTGATTCTCCTGCCTCAGCCTCCCAAGTAACTGAGATTACAGGCATGTGCCACCAGCCTGGCTAATTTTGTATTTTTAGTAGAGACAGGGTTTCTCCATGTTGGTCAGGCTGGTCTCGAACTCCCAACCTCAGGTGATCTGTCCGCCCCGGCCTCCCAAAGTGCTGGGATTACAGGTGTGAGCCACTGCACCTGGCTAAGCTCAGTATTTAACATGCTGTCTAACCTTGGACTAATTGGCCAACCACACACAATACTGGGATACTTTTTTCCTCTGGCTCAGAAATCCCTGACCTCTTTGAAGGCTGAAAAATGCTACATCAGAGGTAAGTAGAGGAGGTGAGGGGTAGTACCTGGGAAAGCATGTTTGCATGTGTGAATATAACTAAAAGGCTAAAATTAGTGACTTTAACCATTATATTGGAAGTAACTTGTAGTCACAGAATAGAAATAAACTTGATTTATGGGGGGTGAAAATAAGGCAGCTGTTACATGAATTTCAAGTGGTGTTCACATAACATTTTAAAAACATTTTAAAGCATCTTTCTCTGTATTGTTTAACATTTGAAATTAGGAAGAAATAAGCTATTGAACCATAGTTATTTTGTTCAAATTATCTAGACTGGCAGTCTTGTTGCCTATTATAAGTATCTCAGTTTGCGTTATCTGCAGATGTAAAATATCTGAGTAGGGGGAATTCAAATGATTTATCTCTTCCTTTTGGCAGAATGGAGTTCCTGTCGGTTTCATATCTACCCCCTCAACTCCTCCCACCCACCAGAGGAAAAAGGAAAGACTGGAAAAGACTTTGCATATAATTTTCCATGAAACATTTGACATAGGAATAGAATAATTAGAGAATGTTGAGTAGATTTTCGTGGACCAGTTGAAAGGTTTGGGTTTGGCAAGTGCAGAAAGGATCACAAAGGTATTACAGAGGGATTCTTATGCCCAGGGTGACCTTTAAGAACGGTGCCCTTTGCCATTCACAGCAAGTGGAGCTTTTGCCTGATGAACGCTTTAAACAGTCGGTGAAAAGAAAACTCCAGTGAGTAACATATTTGCTCTTCCTTAAACATGGGTTTGAAAAAGAGGGCCTCAACTCTTGAGGATAAGGATTCTTAAAATTACACTTTTTGTGCATAAAAGTGTAATTATGGCCAGGCACGGTGGCTCACGCCTGTAATCCCAGCACTTTGGGAGGCTGAGGCCGGCCGATCACCTGAGGTCGGAGTTCGAGACCAGCCTGACCAACATGGAGAAACACTGCCTCTATTAAAAAATACAAAATTAGCTGGGTGTGGTGGTGCATGCCTGTACTCCCAGCTCCTTGGGAGGCTGACGCAGGAGAATCGCTTGAACCCGGGAGGCAGAGGTTGTTGTGAGCGGAAATCACGCCCTTGCACTCCAGCCTGGGCAACAAGAGCGAATCTCGTCTCAAAAAACAAAAAATATCATAAAAGCGTGAACACAAATGCATTAATATCAAAGGTTTTAAGTAGTTAGGGAAATTCTGCCGGGTGTGGTGGCTCACACCTGTAATCCCAGCACTTGGGAGGCCAAAGAGGGTGGATCATGAAGTCAGGGGTTCAAGACCAGCTGGCCAACATAGTGAAACCCCATCTCTATTAAAAATACAAAAATTGGCTGGGCGCGGTGGCTCACGCCTGTAATCCCAGCACTTTGGGAGGCCGAGGTGGGCGGATCACGAGGTCAGGGGATCGAGGCCATCCTGGCGAACACGGTGAAACCCCGTCTCTACTAAAAATACAAAAAAATTAGCCGAGCGTGGTAGGGGGCGCCTGTAGTCCCAGCTTCTCGGGAGGCTGAGGCGGAGAATGGCGTGAACCCGGGAGGCAGCAGAGTTTGCAGTGAGCAAAGATCGCGCCACTGCACTCCAGCCTGGGCGACAGAGCAAGACTCCGTCTCAAAAAAAATAATAATAATAATTAGGCTGAGCACAGTGGCTCACATCTGTAATCCCAGCACTTTGGGAGGCCGAGGCGGGTGGATCACGAGGTCAGGAGATTGAGACCATCCTGGCTAACACGGTGAAACCCCGTCTCTACTAAAAACAATAAACCGGGTGTGGTGGTGGGTGCCTGTAGTCCCAGCTACTCGGGAGGCCAAGGCAGGAGAATGGCGTGAACCTGAGAGGCGGAGCTTGCAGTGAGCCGAGATCGCAACACTGCACTCCAGCCTGGGCGACGGAGCAAGACTCCATCTCAAAAAAAAAAAAAAAAA